ATTATTCGTAAAACGCTTTATTTGAATAAGAATTTGCACAACTCTGGTAAGATTAAAATGTTGTTAGAAAAAAACTAACGGTGCGAGCAATCGCGTAAAATAAAACACCCAGATCCTGGGTTAAGGTTTGAGAGTTATATTAAAGTTAGATCTAGAGAGATGCTGTAACATATAAAATGTTTTCAAAATTTGTAGTATTTTTTATTAAGGCAAATAAAAAAGAAACGTGCAAATTGTAAATAAATTTACTTATTTATGAATGTTATAGCTTTCTTAAACTGAACTTTCGTATTTATTATTTTGAGTATTAGATATTGTTAAATCATTCTCTGTATAATGGGTAATCTAATGCCCAGTTTCTAAAACATAATTTGCAAAATTTTATTAAAGATTTTTTATTTTAATCTTCTTACAAAACCCTGTCAAGAAAAACACATTGACCTTTATTATCGATCGAGTATCAGTGTTTAAAATTTGCGCATACGTAACAACAATTAGTAAACTAAATGTAAAAATGTAGCAAGTATAAACTATACAAGTGATATCATGATAGCACTATCATTATCGCGATCGGTAATCATTACTATATATATTTGTGTATGTGGCGGTGGTCTCTTCGGGTAGCTCTCGCGCTGGGCTTTTGCAAACAATATTATGTTGTTTATACTTATGAAACAGATGTTAGGTCTCGTCGTTAGTGCGACCAGAGAGTCCACCGTCGTGATTTTCTCAGAGAAAGTTTTCAACTGTTGGCTGCGACACGCCGTGTGTTTAATGATGGTAGGCGAAAATGGAAAAGAAAAATCCGAGGACAGTATTTGCATAATAAGCAGCCGTCTTGTATAACGGAAAGGACGTTGATAAACCGTTTTTCTTCTGTAAACAATTCCCGGTGGTCGTTATAATAATATTATTATTATTATAACATTACTATATTATAATATGTAGTAATTATACTTGACTTGGATAAAAAGAAAAATCGACGAGTGTTATCCGCTTGACGTGATTTCTTAGTGAACAATTTACCGACCTAAGCTACCTTACTTGAACTCGAGAAATGATAATAAGTAATAACAAACACTTTCCAACAATTTTCCCGGACACTAAAGGATCAAGATCGCACATATACCACTCAATGTTTATGAAATGTTAAAACTTGTTCACTGTACAAAGATCATTGTTATTTGTTGTTCTCATAATATTTTATAGTTTTACTGTCTGAACCGTTCTACAGCCTATTGCCGGTGGGAAAACAGACGGTGTCACTTCAAAAACCAAACCCAGTACTACTCTGCTGTAATCATAATTACCGAAAGCACGGTGGAAGCCCCTACATTCTTGCAATGTTAGTTTTTACACAATTTTTATGATAAAAATGTATTTTGTAATAGTTTTACAATAATACTATGTCATTTGCCCCGATGCGTAAAAGGAGGGTAACGTGCTTAGGTGTAATGTATGTATATATTTCATTCTTGTTTTATATTATCTTTATCATCTCATCTTACAATCAACAAGTGCATATTGTGACGAAATATATCATTTAGAGTGAAAAAGAAAAGTGATAAAACTGTAGTAAAGCCAGTAATCATATTAGGGAGGAACTTTTATTCAGTATACTAACTGTTGAATATAAAGAGTGAAAATAATATATAGTAGTAGTTAAAACGTGAATGCTAAAATAGTTTTTGACGTTGCCGCAATAAAAACAAAATTATCCAATCTCATCGAGAATCATAATTCATAACCATGAGATAGATTCGCTCCATATTTCGACCTTTATTTATTTAGCTCAGTTAAAAATGAAAGTGCTGGTTCTCGCATTTACGCTACACTTGCAACTAATTATTATTGTCGTCTACAGTTAGTTTTGTAGAATATACTTTTGACTTTATGTATATCTATGTATATGAGACATCACCAGACATCATTGGATGGGTTTTTTTACGATTTTGTAGATTTTGCTAAAATTCCTAATCGTCGGACTTGGCGAAGTTCGAAAAGTTTATTGCTTAGTTGCCGTATAATATGACTGATTTATTACAGCAAGACACGCCGACGAATAATGTAAATTTTGAGTTACAAATTGATTTTCGAATTCTGCACGTCCGAATTAGTCTAGAAACATTAATAATTCGGCGTCGAATACACACTTTGGGCATTAACGTTAAAACTTCAGTCACGATTTCCCGATGCACTTAACATTTTGGGCGGTAATGTATTTGTGCTTAACAGACGGCCGCGGTGGCATAGCGGCGACACAGTATATTGAAGTCGGGACTTGGAGTTATATTTACCGAAAATCGTTTTTCATTCCTTTGTTCGGCGTGTACTTACTTACTTCGTTGATGTTTATGATACAATACATAATAATATATAAATTATATATTTTGTACGTATCGCATGTACCCAGGCTGTCGCTCCCCCCCCTCCTCCTCCGTTAATAACAATAAATTATTATGTACACATGTAACCGAATATGTCGAGAGTTCAGTGTGTTTTAGCGCAGAACAACAATAACAATAATTATAAACGTGCATGGGCGTAGTAATTTGTTGTACACAACAGAAATGGGGCGAGGGAGGGCCAAGATGGATATCGAGTTTCAGCCCACCCACGAGGCCGAACAATACTAATTATTCTTCATTTATTATAATTAACACCGAACGATGGCTGACCTTGGCCGGGTCGACCAAAAGCGTTTACCCAAAGGCTAAATATATATTTTTTTTTCTGTGAAAAAAATTCGCAAAGAGAGCGCTTTCAAGATACTTTTGTCGAGAACCCGAGGGGATAACCTCCCGATGTTAGTCTACTTTTTATTATTATTATCATCGTTACTTACTATTCTTTTTCTTTTCTTCATCTTTTTGTTACCTTAGAATTATGCCACGACGAGACGGCCTAGGACTTTACTCTAATTTACTTAAATCTCGTGCACTTGTCTAAAAAACTATAAATATAGCAATAGGTGAAGTCTGTACAGGTTAGTAGCGCCACAATCGATTAAAAACTTTTACAACTTCCGACAAAATAAACAAATCAACTTTGCGGAAACACCGTGACTTACTTGTACTGTCAAAAAAAATTTAATTATTTTTATCGCACTGCCCTAAACTTCTACTCGCAGTAAATTCCGAGTTAATAGTAGATTTTTAAAAAATAATTTACCAAATGTTTTCTTTTAAGTTAAAGCATTTTGCGAATTTAATTAACATTCTATCAAAAAGTTCCTAAGCTCTAGAACTTTGAGAAGTATTATGCCAATAACATTATGCCCGACTATGTTTAACAAATTCTGTTAATCCATACCGTTTATGAAAATCCAATACTTCGTAGGCCTACTTTATTTATCACCACAAAGAGAGAGATTAATTCATTTTCTCGTTTAGCGGTCACGGAAACCTTTGAACATTTTTAATAATTCAATAACGTAAATACCTTCAGTTAAGATGTACTGGGTCGCTTATGAATCAACTGATATAATATCGTATACAGTATTCTAGTAGTAGAATTATTGTAATTGAACCTTCGTCAACAAGAACCGTACACAAAAATAGTGTAATTATTATAATAATAAAAGTTTAAGTATCGGTTCGCGGTAGAACGTTTGAAGTGTTACAAAATCATATAATACCACTATTTGTTCAAATGTAACAATATATGAGTATTCATATATATATATACATATAGCCGGCAAGAGGGTAAAAACAGAGAATGTACACATATCAAATAACGTTTCACAATTAAAACACAGCTAGGTTAGAGTATGAAATATGTATGTAAATAAGCCTCTAGCTATTATAGTAATTAAAATAACATCTGACAAACAGTACTCTGGTTACGGTAGATGCTTTTAAAAACAAACAAGTTCAAAGACTTTGCTTTCGTATATTCCTACCTATTATAACCACTACAGTATTTTTTTTATTTTTTTTGTTTATTTTAATTAAAAAAACTTTTGTTAATACTGCGCTTTTGTGTTTTACTCCGACTCCTTAACACCTGTTACTTGCAATATTCCATTCCGCCTTCTTTGTTCGCAGTTTTATGTTTATTTTAATGAATTTACATTTCGCTAGAAGTATCAAATTAAAAAAGCAAAGTTTAAGGTGTCATTTTTTAATTTTCAATGCAACATACATTGTTGTTGATAGGAGGACATGATTAAAAATCGACAGCTCTTAACGGATACAATTTTAATATTATTTTAGGCTGTATCATAATATTGATACATCATGTTCAGAGGTCAGGTAGAATTCAGCACGTTATACTTTCGGTTTGGTACTTTTGGAAGTTTGAACGAATTAACACTGATAACATTGTCGTTTTATTTTACATACATTTTACAAACTGGGGTGTCTGAACCCTTCTAGTTGTTTTAATTGGATAACATATTTGAGACAAACGATAATGTATCCAATCGTGATAGTAGTGATAACTATTTTATTACCAAAAACATATTGCGTTTCAATTGACTTAACTTTTGACATTTTTATGTCTTTGCTATGGCATACACACGGAAAATCGTTTATCATAACGAAAAATAACAGCTGATTTATCTGATAAGAGAGATAAGAGATAAGGAAAGGAGATAGGGGGTGAGAGATAGGGGGCAAGAGATGAGAAAGGGTTGGGGTTGAGGGTGGAGGCATATATATTGTATTCACAACGCTCAAAATAGAAATGAATAATAAATTCAATAATTTAAGGGGCCAAATTCTCTATGAATTGGTTTGGGCCAGATATTATGAAAACACTAAAATATTAGCCAGAAACTTGATATGTTTACTAGCCACTTAAGATACATAAAAATGTATCCCGTGGTGTTGCGGACTCGTACGCAAGCTGTTGAAATTGAATATGTAATACCTATGTGAAAACCGTACGTATATATCAAATCGTATATATTTATGAACTACAAATTAACAGTTTTTTTTTATTATTTAATTAATGAACTGTTAATTACTGTTTTTAATTAAAACACATTGTTTTTGCAGCATGGATCGGGGCACGTCACATAGTGACGTTCATGTTATTCCTTGGCATGGCCAACGCCTATATAATGAGGACCAACATGTCCGTGGCCATAGTGGCTATGGTGAATCAGACGGCGCTGGAAAGGGATCCAACCATTCCAGACGACGAATGTGATGGGTACTATACGCCTGTCGCAAACTCCACCACAAACGTGAGTTTAACCTAAAAGTCTTAATAACAAATCAAATTTTCTATTTGGTCCTTTACGTCGTTTTCTCTAGTTTTTGACCAATTATGTTGTATTATTTATTTTAAATAGGTAAAATCACTGTATTACAAAAAAAATGTTCCCACGCCTCATCTTTCGCTTTAAAATCATCATTATATTTTTTTCAACTGAACGAATGTCGCATTAACTTACATCTATACCAGATTCAGTATAAAGAGCTTTTACAAAAATAATTCTTTTTTTTTTTTTGCGAAAAAAAACATTCGTTTATGCCAGAGTGTTTACTCAACGTTCGCTTTTGGCTCTAGACATCAACACTTTCACTCCGTGTTACTAAAATAAATTATCTACATTTACGGCCAACTTTACTCCTCTGAGACAAATGTTTATATTATAATAGAGTTTAAACATTTATACTTTACATTTGGCAAAGTAATATATTAATGAAAACAACCCACTACTTCTTGTAAACCTATAGTTTTTAATTGCCATTTAAATCTACGCAGTTGTATGTAAAATGTTCCTTATTCTAATTCAAAACATAAAATATTGTCATAGTTTGAAACTTGAATGTAGGAAATTTCTTATGTTATCTGACAGAATTCAATTTATATTAAACGGTTAATTCGAGTTTGTTTTTCTAAAATGTAGTATACTTATTCAATACAAATGTTTTGCTTTTATCTTACAATGTTGTTGTTTACAATACTTACGCCGCCAAGGCCTCCTTGCTGTTGAATTTGTAAAAGCTTTAAGTTATTTTTGTACATATTTTTGATACTTTATATATTATCTTTATAACAGTGCAACTTAAACGACATTTTAAAACTTTGATAGTTGTTTGATATTGTTATTGGTAAATGCAACATAATTTTTAACATTTTTTTATTTTGCATTTTTGTTTTACTGAATAATGTTTTACTGAATAATAATCGATGATAATCTGTATTTACATATGGCCGTGTTGCCCTTAATAGGGCTGTTTTGAGTTGTTCTAGCAGAAGAAATAAAATTATTATCGAAGGTTTCCAAGTGGCGTAACGGAAAAGCTGTATTTCACTGTATATTATGTCCTGTTGCTTGCCATCGCGACGGTCGTGGCATCACACTTCACTTTTAATTGCAATTTTTTCTTTCCGCGTTGGTTGTAAGTTTTATCGTGAGATTTTGATTGATTTTTTTCTTTTTTACTTTCCTACCGACGTTGTTTTGCATAACTAATTTATTTTTATTTCCCGTAATAACGAATTTCTTAATAATTTTTGATGGTATAAATAAATTTCTTTTCACTTACAGTACTCTTCCTAGATCGTCGCAACATTGTTATCGGGACATAATGATTTATAGAGCTATTGTACCGGTAAATCATCAATCAGTTTCGACGGTGTGTTTTCAGTCATTAATAATTTCCGAAGCAGAAATTTGTACAGTGCTCGTTATTATTATAAAAATAACTCTAGATAACGTTGGTGCCGAGAGCTGTATTCCAAACTACAGATACTACTTACTGTATTATTGTCATACCATAGATGTATTAAAGAACAGATTGAATCATTAGGTTCAATGATTCGACGTTACAAACTTTTACATGTCATAATACTTCAACCGTTAAAAATTCACAAGTGTTATAAACTATAATAGCGAGACGTTAATAACATTGCAAGTCAATGTAATATGTGTTCTAACTGATTTCTATAAACCATTGAGGTGGTGATTATTTTTGACCAAACGTACCAGGGTCCAGGACCTATAACTAATCAACTTTAAACTGGCGTCTTGTAATATTATTATGTTTTTATTTCAGAGCGTATCCAACGAAGGATCGTTTTTATGGAGCACGTCCCAACAAGGATACGTACTGAGTTCCTTCTTCTACGGATACGTCATAACGCAGATACCGTTTGGGATATTGTCGAAGAAATATGGAGCTAAATATTTCCTAGGCGTCGGCATGCTCATCAATTCAATATTCGGGTTCTTGGTGCCGTTGTCGGCCAACTTTGGCATTTTTTCGTTGATCGCCATTCGATTTATCCAGGGACTGGGTGAAGTGAGTTAATCTTATTACTCAAGCCCAATCGCCCGACCAGAAACACATTTATACTAATCGCAGATTATAGTCGGAGTCGTAAACTAAATGATATAAGCTAACCGCGTCCTACGACAACAGTAGTTGAAAAAATCAATATAACTATAATTAGGAGCCGACGACCTTTAAAATCTATTTATACCCAGGATAAGGTGTGGGGGACAAGTTAACGATTTTCTTGAGTCAAATGTTATCCAGTTTGTTGCAGGTTAAATTGAATTTCCGGTTAACCTGTAATACATTTATATCATAAATAATTAGTGTTATTAATATTATTAAAAAAAAAAATTGAGTTAACTTAAACTTATTAACGCATAAATAACCAACCTTGATTAAATTGTTATTTGTATGGTTTGTACGGTTTTATTGAACGCACGAATTATTATTATTAATTAGGTATACTAATTTTCCACTGAATAGGAAATCGTTAGTCCAGATGGGAAACCCTTAAATTATCTGTTGTTTGCTTTCCCCTTCATCGTCAGACGAATATGACCAACTGTTGTTGTTGGATGAAATATTTACCGGCAAAGGAAATATGTTCTTTTCCCGGTCAAAAATAAATAATAAATTTTAGATTACATCCGAAATAAAAGAAAAAAAATCTATATATTTGTAGTATTACGTTTTTTTTAGGCTTGGGTATAACTAATTATTGAAATAGAGATTGTTAGTTGACCCAAACTGGAATTCCAACTCGGCTCGTACACGTGAAGAGCATGTAAATCGTATCAATAATTTACATTTTACTTTATGTTTTACCGTAAAAATTTCCAAATAATAACTCCTATTTCCTGGCAGTACCATAATTTTATTTTGAATATGAACCTGAATAATCAATCAGCAGACCTATGTCAATTCGTATGCATTAATGTATTCAGCTTAACGTGTGACTATGTTAAGATTTTGATAGCGTTTTCGGAAATGTATCAAAAGAGAACAAGTAGTTTTTAAAACAATCATTAACGTGATCTACCTTTAAAAAGATAACCATTTAAGATGAACAAGTAGAGAAAAAAAATATAATTTAATTTTCCCGAATGAAATTACAAAACGCCATTGAGATGAAAATAATTCCACCAAAACTAAGCAATAACATTCGCTATTAAATTAACAAATTAAGTATTTATCATTCGATATAACTAGAAAACGCAGAAGAGATTTTTATAAACCACAGAATTATTTACAATATTATAATATATACAGGAAACTATTCCCCCAGTCGACTTCTCCGTTTGCGTTGGTCTTATTCAATTTATTATAAAACTTCGGTTGAATCATATGATCGGTTTTTTTGACGTTTATAAATTCAGCGTAGACGACATTTATTAAATTTTAAAGTAAAACGTCCACTGACGCGGTCCGTATTGATTTCAGTTTGTGTAAAACCGTCTTATCCACACAAAATGGTATATTTAGACAGGTCGTCGGATAAATTACACATTTACAATATTGAACTACCTTCGTTGTCCGATATAACCCCGGCCGTTCAGTTTTCAATAGACTAACAGACCCTAATGGTTGCTTGTCGTGTTTAATGTGTTCCAGGGTCCCATAGTTCCTTGTACTCACGCATTGCTCGCCAAATGGATCCCCCCGAACGAGAGAAGCAGAATGGGAGCATTCGTCTATGCAGGTTAGTAGTTATGTAACACAATATACAATAGAAAAGGGGAGCGGCCCATTACTCTAAGACCTATGCAGCAAACTTAATTTTATATTTGAATTGGGATTGTAAGACCTACAGTACGAATGTATTCTGTTTGTGTTTTAACAGTTTACAATTGCAAAATGAAACGAGTAATCCTTTCGAGTTGTAGAACACTATCGTAGGGTTTCGCTTAAAACTATTCTTTTAATTGAAAGGAGCCTAGGTCAGGTCCTATTTTTTTTAATTCGGAAAACTAAGCGACATTTTTGATGTGGCCAAATCCGTTTGTATATGGGATAAACCGGGGAAAGTTTCGTATTTTATACTTGCTTTGAATTTGTATTTTAATGGTTTTATGCAGGAGCGCAGTTTGGAACGGTGATTTCAATGCCACTCAGTGGAGTGCTGTCCGAATATGGATTTGCCGGTGGTTGGCCGTCGATATTCTATGTGTTTGGTGCCATAGGAACCTTATGGTCGGTGGCTTTCTTGTGGTTTGTTCACGAGGATCCCGAGTCTCATCCAACCATACCGCACGACGAGAGAAAATACATCATCAGCTCCGTTTGGGGCGCTGCTGGTGTATCTGTGAGTATTATTGTTGTTAGCTAAATATTTTGTATTATTTACAACCCACCGGGGCTGTTAATTTAACGGTGCTCTCGGACTGCACACACGGACCAGACTCTATTTATTGGTTTTTGAAATGACAAAATATGCGTATCTTCCACCTTCCCGGAAACCGCACTACAAACCTGTAAAATTATTGCAACCGAAATCGGATATAATATACAGAACCCGGTACACGACATTAGAATAACTACCAAGCCCCTGTCGGTGTGTAGAATAAATTTGGAAAACCGCAATACCTATTTTCGCGAGGGTTCCTATAAAATAGTCACAATTAATGTTACTGGCATGTACGGTTTGTGAAAAATGTTCAAATGAACACAATGTATTTGTAGGTATGCTCACCGGGTCCGGGTGTATTGTTCAATTAGCCCAATTCGGAATTGCATAAACAGGGTGTTTCACGCTGCTTGGCTTTGACGACTTTACATATTTTGATTCATATATTGAAAAGTTATCAAATCGGCGCGTTACTACGTTAAACGGTAACTATTTTATTGTTTTGCGGTATAAATAGAAATTTGTCTAGAACCAGTGTTTAAAAAATTCAACCCACACGGGGAAGCAATTCAAATGGCCACAGTGTGTGTCAATCAATAAATTTAACGGATTTTAATAATTTGTATTCATTACTGTTTCTTAACGGTTATACAGCATACCAACAATAGTAATTCCTGATAATTTGAATTTCCTCGAAATCGCTCACCGGTTTGTGTCGGCTGAAACATATACTTACACGACTTACAATAAAGACGTACGGGATCGAATTTCGGAAAATAAAACGCATTATATTGCCGTATCAAATATTCAACGGTTAGGCTACCGTACCTGATTTACGGTCGAGAAAATCAGACGGTACGACTGGGTTGGTATTCTCTGTTGCAAATTAAAAAAAATATATTATTTTCTATATTGCCTTTAGGCAATGTTCCGATTGACTGGCTGATTTTTCTGCACGTGCGCGCTGGGAATTGTTTTGTTTTTTAAAATAACACACACACATATATATATATATATATATATATATAATAATATGTTCAGCGTGTGATCGTAATGGACACAACCTCTAACAGTGGCATTATTCTATATAGCTGCTAACTGCATACAAGTATACAACCTCTGTACACGTGTTTCGGATCAACGGTGAACAGTTGGCACACGAAAACATGTGTCGTACCTTAGGCTTTTAACCAAACAACCGAATGTAGTAAAAAAAAAAAAAAGTCAATGGCCCTTTTAGTTTAATATGTGAAATTGAAAATTCCATTTCGACTATTCAATTTGGTTTGTTATTTAGTCCACGCTTGCTCTAGCGCAACACCGACTTACTAGTTTAGAATCCATTTGAAATGTCGAGTATGATCATATACAAGTTTTGCAATTTTCTATACATTCTATTTGTTTGTATAATGAAACTTTATTAATCGGTTGCATCGGATACCGATTATTTTTTTAATAAATTATTTTCTTTGACAAAATGTTTATGACATGTTTTTAATTATACCTTCCACTATTCCACCTTAGTAGCAAGTTTCAAACTAAGTGAACAGAATTTGTTTAGATTGAAAACTTGATTGCTTAAAATTATATTGCCGGTATAATATAATGTAATAGACCTTGTGTGATTATCGTTTAAAATTAAATTATTATCTATGAGTAATTAAATATCTTTTGAAACCCCAGCGAGTGATATATTTATATAATTCCGAAAATAAAAACGCTTTGACGTCAAAGGTAAATACAATAATTTAATTCGTTATGGTTAAGACCGTTTTTATCATTAAAGAATTTTAATGCTGATCACCTAACCAACGCAAAATAAATTAAATTAAAATATTTTCGCAAGAATATTCAGACTTAAAACTTTTTTTTCTACTCATTTTCGAGGTAAGCACTCGAGGTGGATTTAAACGAACAACACACCTTTACTTATTATTTATTCACTTATAATCTCGGATATACTTCTTGTGCCCGGAACCGACTCTACCAGCTTTTAGAATAACAATTTCGTTAGTGCTTTTTCTCTTTTATTTTTACGTTCAATCTGAGTGCAATAATTGTATCATGTTTTATTTATGTTTAGTTATGTTTCCGTCTCTATAAGTTATATTACATTGTTCCCGAAGATATAGTATAAATAATAATGATAAATTAATATAACAAAATATATTGTTTTTAATTTGTATTGCAAACAACCGTGTGCCTGTTTAAATTTTTGGACAAACGGGTGTTGTGTTCATCATATTGGACTATTTATAAAATGCATAATGTAATACCAGTTCACTGACTATAAACATACTCAGTAGTCAGTAAATATTACAATACATATCGTCAATGGTATGAGTCAAAACAAAAACCCGGGGGGGTATTTATTAAAACTGAGCGCGTCGGTTTGTGTGTAAAGTTGTGCTCATATATAAAATTATTAATAAATATATATATTTATATCTTTTTTTTTATAGAAGCATAATATAGTTTTCTGTGATTTATTTTATAGTCTCCGCCGGTGCCATGGAGGAGTATATTAAAGTCGGCTCCGTTCTGGGCGATATTAGTCGCTCACATGGGTCAGAATTACGGATATGAAACGCTCATGACCGAGCTGCCGACTTTCATGAAACAAGTGTTGCACTTCAATATAAAAGCTGTAAGTTTAATACAATTTGTCTCTACCGCTCTCTGCACCTCACCGCATGCATTGACTGCTGTATTTTTACTATTTTCACATTGAGCGGCCTTGACAACTTTTTGTCATGGAATTTTTTTTATCGTACTCTCCCGTGTGATTCAAAAAATGACTTAACGAATGTTCGCAGAACGGAACATACTCGTCACTGCCGTACCTAGCTATGTGGTTATTTTCAATGGTGGCCAGCCACATAGCTGATATGATGATCTCTTCCGAGAGGTTCTCACACACTGTTACACGCAAAATCGTCAATTCCATCGGTAAGAATAAAAACATAAATTTATTATTAGTTATTCCGTAGTATAAGGCTATTAAATATATATATATATCCCTAATATTTATTACATTTTCGCTATTATTATCGGTCTGCCCCTAGAGCTTTTATAAATAACTGGAAACTTTTAATTTTAGACTAGGGCTCTCCATTTAGCTTTTGACAAATAAGATAAACATTAATCATAGAACCCTTTTAAAGTATACAAGTTTTATCTACATTCATTTTCAGATATTTAAAAGCGATTTGCATAAAAGTCCATTAAGAATTGAACAAGTGCTTGAATATTTATTAGTAGTCCCGCTTAAAAATCAAATAGCAAGCTATTTAATCTGAATGGGCCTGTTAAAGTATTTATTTTACTATGCGTAAAACTACTAATTGGATAAGTTTTCTTAATCATAACAAGAGTTTATATATGTACTTGGTTAAAGAACACGTCATTATAGTCTTAAAAAGTCCGTGAAAGTTTATGATTTGGTTCTGCCTCCGAAACTTGGTATTCACACTAAAATAATAATAATATACTAATACTCTTCTCGCTAATGTCCAAAACCGTTAAAAAATGTAGCTTCCTTTTTGTTTTAATGGTTAGCGAGCTTAAGCGGACAAGACTTCGGATAATCTAACTTAAATATAAATGTAACCACCATAAACATAGGACATGCTTATTAGGGTGTAGTGAAAAAAGGCAATTTTTGAAATCGTTTTCGTAATACCTTACAAAACTAGCGTGTTGGTTGGTGTATATAAACCTAAAGTAAAAAAAAAATTTTTTAAAAATATTTCCACCGCTCCAAGTCAAAAAACCAATATTCAGCAAAAGTATTTAGACTTTTTATCATAAATAAAAAAGTTTCAATAACAAAAAAATTAAAAAACTATAATTTTGTAGAAAACTATATTCTGCATATTATACGTGTACAATTTTATTTTTAGCTTCAATGCAAAGCGGCGAAGGTATTTGTTTTACTCTGATGTGGACTTTTTATTTATCTGTATACACTGTAACTTTTTTAATACTGGACCGATTCCTTTGAGTAGCAACTCTATAAATCACAAATTTTATCTAGTTAGTACTTTGGGGGAAGAGCCCCAAACATCAATCGATAATTCAGTCGTCAAAAAAAAAAACAAGTAATATTATTATAAACTACTATTTCGTGATTCTGAGAAATCATTATTTACAATTTTTCATAATCCGGGTTTGGGCTTTTTTGTTTATGGTTGTTTTATATATATATATATATCATTTTTTTTCAAATCTGATTTTGTTGTGAAATAAACTAGGCTAGAGCGTAGAAAAACTAATTTTTTAAAAAAAACTTTATTATTCACTTTAAAAATTAAATCAAAGTTAAAAAAATTGTTTTTGCATGTTTTTAAATTTAAAACTTTATTTTTGGCGATTAAAAAAAAATTTTAAAAATAAAATTGTACACGTATAATATGCAGAATATAGTTTTCTACAAAATAATAGTTTTTTAATTTTTTTAGTATTGAAATATATATAGTTATGATAGAAAGTCTAAATACTTTTGCCTGAATATTGGTTTTTTGACTTAGGGCGGGGGAAATATTTTTTAAAATTTTTTTTTTTTACTTTGGGTTTATATACACCAAGACGCTAGTTTTGTAAGGTATTACGAAAACGATTTCAAAAATTGCCTTTTTTTACTACACCCTAATGCTTATGGCGTCACGATAAAAAATGAATAAATCTTTAGATGTTTAGTCGTTTTTTTTTCAGTGCAACGATACGCTTGATTGATTGCGTTTATTATTTTTCTCTTTGTTGAAAATATTGTTTTCCTTTTGCAGGTCAATTTGGTCCAGCTATTGCGTTGATCGCTGCTTCTTACACGGGATGTGATCCGTACCTGACTGTTGCAATACTGACAGTGGGCGTCGGCCTGAATGGCGCTATTTACTCGGGATTCAAAGTGAACCATCTAGACATATCGCCGCGGTTTGCCGGAATATTAATGAGCCTTACCAACTGTCTTGCCAACCTGGCAGGACTGTTGGCCCCGATCGTCGCCGGATACGTTATCGATAAAAGGGTGAGCGCATAACAAACAAATCTATAAAAAAAACATTGTGTTTAATCGTCATCGATTGTCGCCATAAGATGACCAGGTTTGTCCGTTAAAACAAATTACCAAAAGACTTAAAAATTTAATTTGAAAATACGTCACAAGAAATGACAGCTGTTGACGGGGTTAAAAATGGTGTACTTCTATTACTGTGCTTTATTGTTTTTATTATGTCAGTAATACCTTTTTATTTATAATAGCTTACATAACTGTAGTCGGTTCAAGGATTTGTACACGGAAAAAATAGTAGGATCGACTATAATTGTTATAGTTAATATTATAACTTACTATAACATTATGTGTAACATCCACGAAGCAGGCCGTAATAATAAAAATATATTGAACGCAATGTTGATATTTTGTAATCCTAATAATTGAACTTGAGTTTGATTTGCAAAACAAAAACTATTCGCAGTACCAAATGTAATGGCATATTGCCACGCATAAATTTACTCTTGGAAACAATAAAATAATTTTTTGTTTTGAATATATTTACTGATTGATTTCCACTCGTTTGTATTGGTGTTCGATAAACTTTTGACTATCGTAAAGTTTTATTATTTTGTTGGCAGTAAACCGCTATTATTATAACGCGTTACATAATTGTAGGGCATTTGGCTCGATGAGGCACTAGTTCACAATAATTGTTATTCGGAAAATTGAGCATAGACTTTATTTTTTTTTTTTATATGGATGCGTGTTTTGATGTAGTTATAACTTTTTTAAATACTAATCAAAGTTAGATAAGGAGTATCAGTAATTACTAACAACGCAAAGTGTACAACAGTGTTTTTGAATAAGTGCTCGACCTCGTTTTTTTTTTTCGAAAAACGAGATTGACCCACTATCAGTCCCGAATTTCAGATTATCGTTTTTTTTTTATTGATATTAATGTAGATTAATTTCTTAAAAAATAATAGATAATAGATAATACAGTTTATGGTTTTATGTCAAATATAATATGTGTGCCTTAATAATAACTATTCCGGACTTGATGTACGACTTTTATCAACGTGTGCGTGTCTAACATGAGTTTTCACAGATGGACTAAAATTACTTTACACCGTTCCGACTTCCGTCTTACCTTTTGGCTTGGTTTCATTGTACACTAGGTCATAGCCAAATACCCAAAACTTAGCTAATAGAAAACACAATATTATTATATTTATTATACTCCCATTGCAAACTACCCCGTTGATAAACAAGATAGCCAATTTTTTGAGAGGGTAGATTCGATAATATAACAAGGTATCCGGGAGATATGTAGTTTTCCTATACCTCTATTCCATTATACTGGACATAAATTACGTAGGTTGAATATGTCGAGAGTAACGTGGAAGGCGTCCATTTAGCATATTTATATTTGTCAGAAACTAATGAAAGTCGAGGGTAGCCATATGCATGCAGCGATATGAACACGAAATTAATAACTATAATAACAAACTTGGTGGACCGGTCGAACATGGCCGCTTTTCGCTAAAAAAAAATTTGTAATTCAAATTAATCGAAGAATTGCCTAAAAAGAACTTAACACATCAGTAGATCGCCGATTTGAATGAATTATATAGATTTTAATTGAAGATGTGACTGTTTTATCTAGTTTTAAGTGTTTTTTTTTTAAATTTTATATTGGCCATGAATAGTTTTATAAAATAATTATCGTTTTTTGGCGTTTTATACATTTTTATAATTATTACTAAAGCTATGATGAGTTTTAAACAAACAATATTTATAACATTCTGACTATTTTATACAATTTTAAAACTTTTATGATATTTTATTAGTCATTATGGATTTAGTTAACAAAATTGATGATCTGACTTTTTATCTACTTTTAATATTTATTGTTATTATATTATTGTTCACGATTTAATAAAAAAAAACACTTTTGGTTTCACTATGTAAATAATATTGAAATAATATTAAGAATGTAAAAATATGTATTTAAGAATTAATTCCTTCTATTAGATTCAAACCTATCCTTACTGACGTGTTCTGTACATTTATTTTACTGTTAAAATTTGTATGTTTACTAATATTATTAATTTTTTATAAATTTTCGACCACAGTATACAAATTTGAATTCACCTATGAAACTTTAAATTTTGAACAACAATATTGCTTAAGTTGTTTGAGTTTATTTTGTGTGAAAATGAATTCCTATTTAATTCTTTCAACTTCGCGATCAACTGATGTGACATCTTCTTATTAGACAATTATTCGACGTATAAGAATCAGAATTTTTTTTTTTGGTAGAAAATTTTGGTAGGAGGTCTGGCGCTAATCTTGGCGTTAAGGGCGTTATCTTGTTTGGCGAAAAAGGATAAGGTACAGTTTTGGCACAAGAGTAAATCGATTCTTATCTTGTTGGCGGAAAAGGCTCGACCGGTCAAAATGCTCGCGCAGTTAGGACAGAGCTCCGATTAAAATGAGTGCGAGAAATGGTGTGACTCGAAACAAAGGAACATAGATGTAAAATGGTACTGTCACTCCACATTAACATAACCGTTATATCTCTCTATTATATTAATTAGTATTTATTATATTTCTAAAAATACATCTATAAGGTAACCAAAATAAATAGACGAAGAAGGTATTGTTTTTGTCTTAGAACTATACAAATCGTGTGAATCTAAATTATACAAATCTGAACTCATTATAACTAAATTGCCATAATAGTTTGATCTGAAACGTAATGTTAGAATGAAAATCAGAACATAGCACTTGAGCTACTCCTCGAACTACTAACACGAATCATGTGTTAGTTCGCAATTACAAATAGTGTGATACTGATTTAATTATGTTTAACTGTCAACTAATTGTTAAGTTACTGCGTTTAATTAAATATCATAGTTTTATAATATGCTAATTATAAAATTCAATATCATGACTGATGCCGTTCTTTGAACTGTTAACAAATGAACGAAAATTCAACATAAACAGAATATTATATTATATATATATATTGTATAACGCTATTTTGATCGGTTTCCGTCGTCCCATGAAAATTTATATTTTTATTTAGGGCATGGGACGGAGACAAAACATATTTTGTGGGTAAACGACCTCGACTTAAAATTTAAAAAATGTACCTAGTTTTTTTCCGACCAGAATACTATTGTTTGATTTGTTTTGTTCACTTTGTGAATGGTCTTTATTTGTTTAGTCTGTAATTGTAGAGCGAGACTATAATAAAAAATTAATATCGTGTTTTTTTTTTAGCCCACACAAGCGGCCTGGAGGATTGTGTTCATCACTTCGGCGTGCGTTTACATGGTGTGCTGTACTATTTATTTAGTGCTCGGTGACGGCACCAGACAGCCGTGGGACAACCCGTCCAACGATCACCTGAACAGCAAACAGCACAAAAAGAAGCAGAAAGATATCGAGACCACCATTCAGTGAACAACAGCAGCCATCCGTCTCCCGTTTTATCCCAAATCAAATTCCACCACCAACGGTCCGTTCCCGTAATGAACCCGTGCTCTCCCGCTCCCGACACACCCCTTACTCCCATAATACCGCCCGCCCGTCTTCTCCGCCCTTTCTGTAAGACACTCTCTTGTGGACCTCGATTGAAACGAGGACTATACGTGTGTGTGAGTGTTGTCTAGATTTTACTGATTAAAAGCAAGCGCGTCTGTGAATAGGTTTCAAAAACGATATTATTATTCTACGTAACAGTATATTATTGTTGATATATGTATACACTCTTTATTTAATATTTTATTTAACAAAAAAACCTAAATTTTTTTTTAGATTTACATTAAATTTTACTCGGGTGTCGAATCTTGACACCATAGAAAGCACATTCTATTAATTATATTTTTTTATAATATTAATATTCGATAAAAGATAGATGATTATTGTCTATTTTTAAATATAAACATTATTATCAAACTGATATATACATATACATATAATATATGTATATTATATATTATAATGATAAGTTTAATTTTTTTTTTGTTTCGTTCTGTATGTATGACTACTTAGCTTTAAAATTAAAAAAAAAATTAAATAAAAAAAAATTGTGATATTGTTAGTAGCGTATTATTATTGTTCCGGGGAAATAAAATAGCCTGATGTGTTCTTAAATTTTCTCTCAAAATGTATGTCTTCCCCAGTCAATACAATATTCAACTACTCCCTCTTGAATTGTTTTTATTACTTATGATTGTACTTTGATGGGTTTTTCATTAGCAAACGAATGCATTCAATGTATACATTCAAACGTGTTATGTGTAAATGTATATCATACCATAAAATAGATGCACCGATTTAAACGTTATACGCGTATAAATAATGTCAGGTTTGCATCGAAGCTAAAGAAATGTTATTATTATTTTCAACACATTTTATGATCTTGGTGTTCCTTCGTCTAGCTCAAATATTTGTTGTTTTTTTACGTTAATTATTGACCGTGACAAATAGCGCAATACGTTAATGAAAATACGATCTTAAGCAATAAATACAAAATTAGATTTTATCTGTTTATTGATTCTTCTGTAGATTACATTTTTTTTTTGTGGGGGTTGGTTTTTTTTTTAATGTGTACGTTATACAGTCGTCCAAACTCGTTGACATATTTTTTCTCAAATCCTCAATATTTCCATCGGCGAAACATTATCGATCAGTATTTTTGTTCACATACATACACACGATACATATTTTATTTTTCAATTCTTATTATCACCAAATACATTTTTTCCAATGTGATAGTTATTAATTATTATATTTATTGAATTCTTTGTTAAATTATTATTATATATAATATATATATATATATATATATAAACATTTAAATTATGTTTTATTTTTAAGTAAAAGTTTCTAGATTATACATTATTATTATAATCGTTGTTTAACAATTTAGAATTTCATTATTTACCTAGTGAGAAATGATATGTATGTTGTTAAAAACTAGTAATAAATATAATATTTAAAAAATACCATATTATTTATGATGATTCTAACATTACGTTATAGCATTGAGGAGACGGTTGAATAAAAATAAAAAGTCAATAGTAGTTTGAAAGTTATGTTAAAATATATTATATTATAATTAGATACGTAGATCTAGGTAATTTTAACAATTACTTTCGTTCATACTACTGCTAGTTGATCTATTAAGTTACCAAAAAATAATATTTAATAAATAGTTTTTAATATTATTATTATTTTCTTGTGACGATTAAAAAGTAATCGGCTTCTCTATAAATTAAGTATACCTAAAAAAAATGATTACCAGCTCATTGTTTAGAAAAAAAAAATTATTTATCTACTTATTTGTTGATCTGTATTACTTTATTTCCTTATGTTTAACAGGGTAATATTATTACTTGAAGCTAGGCATGTATTATAATAACATATAACTTACTTATACTATTATTATTGTTATTATTATTATTATTATTATTATTATTATTATTATTAGTATCTATCTAAATTAATTTGACCATTTTGTCTGATGAGATTATTTTATTATCTAGGTATTTTTTTTATCGTTATTTTTCTTATTTTTTTTTCACTCTATGCACAACTACATTTTTTCACCGATAATAACTCATACTATATTCAATAGCCATGCAATATGATTAATATTATGTTTGTTTAACCCTTGTATCTTTTGTTGACTTATCGCGATGTTCAACTAATTACCATTGCAACCTACTCTGCTCGTATCCAAAAATAATAAAAATATGTATTATTAACGACAGTAATAAATACTACTTCAGTCATTTAAAACCAAAATACACGTAATAATATTTAACAAAACCAAAATTAAGTTAATAGTAAATAAAAAATTGAAAATTCAAGGGTTAAAGAAATATTTTATTATTCATTAAATTATTGATGTACTTAAACTTATATTTGATTTCTATGTACTTACGCCGGAGATGATCTGAAGGTACGTTCTACGCTGTGCTTGTAAGTCTTAATGTATGACGGAAAATAATAATAATATATAAAATCAACGATATAATTGTATACCTAATATTATAAAAACGTAATAATAGTATATTGAAAGTTAACTGTCTGTTCGTTAGTTGAAACAATATTATTTGTTTTGAATAATTATTTAGGTTGTCAATTATTATTCTAGAAATAAATACATGAAATGTCAATACAAAGTATACAAGATGTATTATGTGCTTTTTTTTTTTTGTTGTTTATTCAATTACCGGTTTATCGCTTTTGCGAAAACAACGTGTGGATTCACTTTTAGAAAACAAAACAAAAGAAATAATATTGATGTTAAATCAAGACAATATTTCACGTGACACGATACCTCCCACACAAAAAAAAATCAAGAGCAAATCAAATTGGCCGTTTTGCCACGCAGCACGCGACGTTGGAAGCTTTAGATCGATAAGCGCAATTTATTATGTCGTCCCATTTATATTATATGTATACCGTTTTGCTATAAAGTATAATATGAGAACGCTTGCCTCTACACGGTAACCGACATTTATTTTTTCCCTACCACTATCAACCCTTATCATTGCTCATCATCTCGACTACGGAATAAATCAACATAATAATTTCAGCGCACATTTATTTTATTACATCTCTTCTATCGTTTTTTTCTTTCTTTCTTTATTATTATTATTTTTATTACTTCTTAGTAGACGGCTACCATTTTTTTTTACCACGCTATAATAATATATAATTCCATAAAAAAACGGTATTGTAAAATTTACCAAACCAGTAACGGATCACGGATCCAATGAGAACTGATATGAAGACGCACTAATTATCCTACTTGGCATAAACGGCACAAGAGGGGAAGAGTGTAAAATCCCTGTATTTTTTTTTAACTAGACAATCATTTTTTAAATACCTCTTAAAGTGTATACAAAAAATGTTTGTCAATACATGGGCCAAGACATTCGTTAATGTAAATTCTATAATGTTTTGTATTACTTTTAGGATTTGTATAAAACGTTTTTAATGCGAACGATTTATCACATTTAAATTAAATTTTACCGTTTCCATTACATGTCTATAATTGACCATCGCTCGGATTCAACATTTTCAGCTTAACAGTTAAAATTGTTATTTTCTAGCAGTTAAAAGTATGTATATACTATGTAGGTATTTTTTGACCTGGGATGTAAAAGAAACGTTGGGTGGTCGAGTATACGACCCAGCAATGATATTATAATTTTAGTGTTTAAAACTTAAGATTTATTACGCTTGGTCACGAGCATGAAAATTTCCAAAACCTGATTGTTCACATTATATTGTTAAATGGGTGCGCCAAACAGTAAACTTTTCATTAAAATTTACATAATTTTCAGTAGTGTGCAGGGAAAATCCATAGTCAGCCTTCGATGTTTTCGTGCGGTAAGTTTTATAATGACTTGAAAATTCAATTTTTGCATAATGTAAGTTTTCATTCGAACCGAGTGCGTTTTATATACACGCTCTACCAGGAAATACAAACCATATATTATTTTCTTTTCTCCACTTATTTTTTCCTACAGGAAGTCATATTATCGTATAAAACTGGCAAATGAGATTTTCCTATATGCACGACTACTCCTGTATAATAAATATCACAATTTACACTGCAGTATAAAATATAAATCACTATAAATAATTTACAATCCTTGCGTTTACCTAGCTTGTACATTTTAAGACTTGAATAAATTAAATTCCAATGTGTAATTAAATGTTATTATTAATTATTTATTGATTCTCATCATCAAATTATTTAGACATCAATATTAGGTAAACTAATATTATGTTATTTTGTAAGTTATAAAATAACATAATCAGTTTTAACGAATAAAAACAAAAAAAAAAGAAGTTAGCGAATGGTTATTTGTGGGTTAAATTTAAAAATCAAAAGACTACATCCATATTTTATTTGCTTATTAAAATTAGAATGATATAATGGAAATAATGACTAGTCGAAAAGCAGTTTGGTTTAGTATGCGGTGTGTACGAAATATGTTTAATAAATTATTACTAAGAGGATGTGTGATACGACATAATATTGTACTGCCCATTTAATCGTGCATAAAAACACACACAAGAACATACTTAAAAGTCAACAAATTAAATAAAAATAGGGTAGTGTACATGCCAAATAGTTCTGTTGACTAGTATACAGATTGTTTTGATGCTCGTGCCTATGTATATCACAGACACGACTAACACGTGGGGAGGTTGAGACTCCTGTGGATATTAAACGAGATGAATAATAAAAATAAGTTTATTTGGCCACCTTATAAGAAAATTGGCTATTCGATCAATCCGCTGTATATTTGAGCAAAACTATCACTATAAGTTGGTAATATTGTGCCGTTTGCTTTATGGTTCGTATACGTAGCAAAATGAGTTTCTTCTATGTGAGCTCCATAAAGTTCATCCTAGACACGAAGTCGTAATGCATTTCGAGCATAGACTACCTACTGGTAAAAGGTAAGTTTATGGCGAATGATCTTTTATCGAAAAGAAACAACAGTTGCTGACAGCGAATACTGGAGGCAGAAACGCAATATAATAGTATTAATAATAATAATAATAAATATGGCAAATGGTTTTCACAGCACCCCAGAGGCACATAAGTCAACACATGTGTTCAACGGTAATGGAAAATTCCGAATAGGCCGTATTTGGTCGGCTCTACACTTATTGAATCCTGTATGTGTAGACCTTGTGTTTTCGCGAAAGCTCTAAAGGTTTTTTTAGTAAAGGCAAAAGATGAGAAATAAAAAAGCCGGCGGTGCGGTGTGATGAAATATGTACGTGCGTTGGCAATCTTGAGAATCTGCAAACAGAGGCATCTCGGGAAGAGAGTATATATAATATACATGTATAAAGTACATTACAAATTTCTTCTCCACGTAAATTTTCTATTTTGATAGACATCTGTTTTGTCGTAAGCTTCCAAGTCTATGGATTCCATTGACTGCATTTAAGGTCAGTTTACCACGGAATCGAAAATTCAAATCATGTCGCCTTCTCGTGATTCTACTAAACAAAATATTTACCACAAGTTTGTTTCTTTACAGCGATATGTATTTGAATTTTTATTTTAAACTGTGCAGATTTAATTTTTATACTAATATTTATTTTTTCTACATAATCCATTATTTGATCGTTTTAATTATTTATTTTTTTTATACTTCTTTCACGAGCTTTTTGATCGAGATTGCCTAGTATGAATCAACCAACGCCCTAGTCTAGATCGTGTCATCAATTCGTCGTTAAGCATGGACGACGAATTTTTAATTGAACTAGTGCGAGAAAATAGTGTGCTGTACGATTTTTCACATTGTAAATATTGTGATACAAATTTTAAATCCAATTAGTGCAAAGAAATCGGGTGAAAATTGTGTGTCTTCTTTTCTTAAATCAGTTTTAACTTTTGACAGTATCTCCATGTATTATCCGTGAGACTTACAAAAATATTTATAAAATTTTACGTCATCATTTACTAACTGGCGATAGAGTGTTAAATATTGTCCTTCCTCCTGGCGAGCCCGGACTAATGGGTGAACCCAAAACCGTCTACTCCGTTTCCTTTCTCTTATTTCTTCCTATTCATTAAGAATCGGTGCGATTTTCATCAAAGTACGACTTAAAAATTCCATCATGACCGGATTCTACAACACTTGGTGGCAACGAGCTGACTGTCTAGATTTGATTGTTTGTGATCGTAATTGACCGTTATAATGTGAATTATACGTCATAATCCTTGACCGTGATCGGACCGAACCGAGACCGCCAATGTGAATAGAGCTTAATTGATCAGATATAATTATTGATGATCACAGGCATCAAGTAAGTATAAAAATATAACGTAGGTACGTTAAAAAGAAAATTGCTCATCTAACATTTATACATCTAACCCGGAAACGGAAACTCACGAGACACATAACTTGCATACCTCACAATTACTATAGCCGGTAACCGTGAAGAAAATTACAAAATTAAAAAATAAATATTTTATGAAATGAATTACTAAATGAGTTTCTATTTTTTGTATCAGGCAAGTATACACTTTTGACCTTTCCTTCTATAATGGTAACATAATACATTTTGTTATAATTTTGTATTATAAATATTACAGAACTATTAAAGATTAAATGCTTTTTAATGTAATTTTCCACGTAATGAAGTAAATACTAATTTTAGAGTAAAAATTGTCGATTATAATAGAAGGAAAGATGTGATTAATCGCGGTTGTTTACAAACATTAGTCTTATAACATTTTTCTACACATCATATTATTATATTTAAATAGCTCACTTTTTTATATCGGTAACAATGGCACTAATGATCTACACAATCTAGGAAGCTAATAAGTAATACATATATTAACGCTAACAATAGTTTGCTATACATTAGTCAAAATGCAATTTTAGTGTATAGCAAATATTATTTTAAGTCTAAAAATGTACACGTATTATAATGTTTATCAAATGCAATTAATATTATTGATAATATTCATTAGTTTTTCTTAAAGTAAATTGTAGGAATCCTTTTTTGTTTTGTTCAGAGTCTATGTGTTACGTTAAATTCTGAATGACAATGACAGCTTTTAATTTCAATTAAGTTTAGCGTTAACGTACGTAGATCTATAGAATGCCATCGCTGTGAACAAATAATTTTGTTTTTTATAAACCTACAACCTGCCGCTAAAACCATTATCCCGTCGTCCTTAATCAAAATATATATCGCATTATTATCGAGAATGAGTGGCGAGGGATAATGGAAACCGGAAAGACGTCCATCAAGGTCTGAATACAAGAAGAAGAACACATTTTTTTAACAAAGGCATCAGCCGGTATTTTTAGTGTGATATTGATCGAATATACAAGTGAAAAGCATATACATGAAGCAGCTGTGAAATTACGAAGTAAAGATATTATTAAAACAAATTATTTAGAAAAATTATAGTAAGTACGGTGTATGATGTAAGCACATATTATAATAATTAGGCGTAAACTTTTATAAAATGTATTAAAGAAAAACAAACCCTTTACACCTTTACGAAAAAAGTTATCTGAAAATTCAAATAATATTTAATTTTATGCTTAAAAATATTTCATTAACGTTGAAAAAAACAATCAAGTGTATATATATTCTTTTTTTTGTCATTTATGCAACCTGGTATTAGTTATATTTTTAGGCGTTTGTACGTTCCTAACAATTTTTATATGTATTGCGCTATCTAGTGGTCGTCTCTATAGTTACAAAGTAACAAAGAGTACATCATGGTACGCTGTATGATCCAGATAGGTTTACTGTTTAGTTTTTTTTTTAATGTATTAGTCATTACGGGAATAACAAAATCTTGAATCTTGAAAAACTATTTTTATTATTACCATTTTTTTTTATAAATTTTTTTTCTATTACTTTATTGTCTATAAATAACTTCATTTTATTTTTCACCGTCTCATAACTTGGTCTTAGTAGTTCACAACAAATGTTAAGATCTGAAATCATATTCTTCAAACAACAATTAAGACTTAAATTAAACAACTATGTGTATAACTGAATTATTGTATAATTATAATTTGAATTTGTACATTATCTGATATCATGATGTAATCGCCTCGTATATTCTAGTAACGAATATATTAAATAAAATAAAATTAAAAATAATTAGGTACTAATACTATTAAAATAGGTAGTTTATTAATAAAAATATTTATTGATCGTTTTCAAACGAGTATAAGGTAAAAAACATGCTATAAAAATGATTTTACAAAACTCACTCAACTCATAAGTCAACCGCATTATAATTTGGAGTGTATTAAAATGTAGATAAAACATTACAAGTCAAAACATATAAACGCGAAATTTAAGTATAAAATATTTTTACGAAGATAACAAAACAAATACAGGTATACATTTTACATAAACATATTTTTTTTTCCAAGTTGCGTTAATAGTAAATCGAAGAAAGTCCTTGGTTATGTGTCGTATCGTAGTACTCCAGTTCGGTGTAAGCGTAATCAGAATTTTCGGTAAACTTGACCAAACCGAACTTCTTAAATTGGTTTCCCCACGTTCGTTTTGACGTTTCGTAAAGCAAGGCGTTGATGATTTTCGACTTGAGTTCACCTAACGAGAATAAATACCACGTTGTTATTAAAAATATTACTTATATTACACCATTGTCGGTCGTTTTCGTACTATTTATGTTTTTATTGCACACGATCGCAAAAGGGGGCAACGGACCGATGCTGTCCAAAATACAGATGTCATCGCTGTCCTTGTGTAAAATGTTTTTGTAGTTGTAAAAAGCTGTCGAGTCCACCGCGGCCGCGGTCACTTGCTTGTCTTGTACTTTCTTAATGGACAACAAGTGATTTCCAGTTCCTACGGAAATAACCAGAATTTGGATTTACGTAATTAAATATTTTTAATTATTATCATAACATGGCTACAATAATCCAGTAAAACAAATTGCTTTCATAACGTATTGCGGTTAATAGTTTCACCATCACCTAAGTAAAGTATATTTTTGTATAGTTTTGCATTTTTTTACTACTGCAAACGTAAGCGGTATGCTTAAATAAAATATTGTTATGTTAATAACATTGTTGATAACATTATTAATATCATATTGTATTGTTTTTATTTGTTTTGATCATCACAAAAAATTAAAAGTATATACCCCTATTATATTTTACATACTACACAGTAATTATTTCTTAACTATTCGAGTTGCCTTTGCTGAAAAAGATGTATATTTGATTAATATTGGAGAATTAAAATAATTGACAAATCCCCCAAGTTAAAGAGCTTAAATTCTCACATAGGTTTCCAGTGTTATTTTAAACATATATCTATAAGCACCTAATATTACAATGTTATAAGCAAAAAAAATAGTCGAAAAGCAAAGCTGCAGTTCGAAACAATTAATATAGTTATAATCTAAATACTTTTGACTAAAAAATGAGAAACAACAAAATAATATTGATAGGAATTATTCGGAAGGTATTTTGATTTGTGAAATTTGAGTTTTTGAAATCCTAGACGTTTTTTTTAATGTTTGTAATTTGAGTATAATTATTATGAAATCGACAATTCAAACATAAATATATACTAAATACATAGACCATATTATGTTGTATTTAACTAACACCGACTAACACAGGACACGTGATTAAGATTTTTTTTTTATAGTTTTTATGGCTAAATTGTAACATTATGTACCGGTCTTGTTCTTGTTATAACTTATACATAATGAGAATTGATTCATTTACTCGTTAAAAGTTTTGCATTCTCTTTAACAAATTTACATGTAAACTTTTATGGAAAATGTCTTTAACAGTGAGAGAATCCCTTAAATAGGTATCAAGTAGGTATAGTTGATGCAAACTGTCTTTAGGGAGACAGGATTTGTTTAGTAAATTATTGAAGAACTATCGGGTATCAGAATACAATTAATAGATTTTTTTAAAAAAATTATTGTCTGTGTGATAGTTAGTCAAAGTCATTGTATATTAAAATCAGTCTTTACTTATTGTGTTGCCAAAAAATGAAGAATTTTCTCCGTGCGTCCGTAGCAATTTCTGAATGGATATACTGCTACTTAACGAACTATCGCTCGTATAGGCCCAACTGTTGCCGCGTAAATCTACAAACGAATTGACCGTTTTCCTATAAAAGAAAACAATTGTCAAGATAAATTCAATAATTGTAATGAACGGTTAAAAAAATCCTACTAACTGCACGTCTTTATGCATGATAATATCGGCGTAGTATCCAGAATGTTCATTGTTGTTTTTTTTATGGGAAAAAACCGGGGTAATGGGCATTAGTTCGAAATGTTTGATTAGGCGTATTCTCTTCAAGCTTACATACTGCATTGGACTAAAAAAACCTATAATGTTTTACCACAACAGATTAGGAAAAAATGTTTTTTTGTATATTGTTAATATGTATGTATTGAAAAATTCTATTATCTCATTTGCTAAGAAAGCATTTGTTAGTATCTGCTTTAAGTGTCAACTATAGTAATATGTCTCCAACATAATCCTAACTGTTAATTGCTGATTTCATTTATTCACACTAATCCTGTTTCCGGTGCATTATCCGATGGAACATGTAACCCATTTTCATTTCAACTTGTACTGGTTGTCATTTAAATTTAATATTTCTATGTTATTTAGTAGTTTTTGTATAACAGACAGAAATTATCAGCTATTTTGAAGATATTTTAGAACAAAATTATATTGTTTTATCGAATTGTGCTCGGTGAGTTAAATTAAAACTTATTTTATATTAACTTTAATTTTTAGATTCTAAATTAATTTAATATCTTTATAATTCTATTTTTTTACGCAAACAAAAAATTAGAACTACCTAATTATATTAAGCTTTTCGAATAAGCTTCCAATTACCGTACTAATAAAAGTACACCAGTGTTATTTTTAATTTAAGATATATTAACCCAAATTGCCTATATCGAACCCTTCATTTAATCGAAACATACAGCAGTTGTAGACTGTGGTCTTAACCGAGTTAAATGACAATTAATCAATCTTTAGTTTCTAACATCATTAAATTATTTATTTAGCATAACATGATTAAAGGTCGAATTTTACAAATACCGTTTCCCAGTTTTGATAACTAATACAACAATTAAATGATTAAATTTTTGTTTAAAAATAATTAGAATAAATACATACATCTATTTTTATTCTAAGGTCATGGTGATTGTTAACTAGGCATAATGATAAAATTTTTTTTTAACATGACCATAAAATAACTGCACTTCTATTTTTTAATAGTAATAATAATAATAATAATAAATTATTATTATGTAATAATATAATGTAGTCAATTCAAGAGCAATTTAGGATTACCAATCATGTTAATGGTTAAAATATTAGGTCAAATTATTAATAATTCCAAAATCTGTAAGTTGATATTTCTATCAAATATTTGGCGAGATTTAATGAACAAAATGCGATTTTCCTATTACGAATACATAAGTAAGTAATAAGTAACATAAATAATACATAAGCTCTGCGTTCAAGACTGTAATGACTAATAACTTATGTAATTTCGCGCTATCAGTGCAATGACCGTTCGTTATCGATTTTTTTTTATGTGAAAGTCGACTTACAATTTAAACGTTCTTGGCGACATTAGGTAGAACTGAACAACGTACGCGTTTCGTTTTCCATCCTTCGAACAGCTAATAAAACTAAACTGATTTCTGTCTATCGACACTGTTAAATTTCCCGGTATCTATTTCAGTAACAAAACTACTACGACATGTTGATCATTAGTTCCATCTCCCACTCTTAAGTCGTCGCATTTGAAACACGTTGTTTTTAAAACGTTGTTGGAAATTATTTTTGGGTCAATAATGTTGGGTATTTTACATAAAATGGGACAAATGTGGATTTGCACTATACAATATAATAAAATTAATTTTAATTGAAACTGAAAGCTTTATTCTTAAACGATATTAATGCATTTAAAAAATAAACAATACCTGTTATTATATTAACAACAACAGTTTCTGTCAAACGTTTATTACTGGTATTTCATTGAAAATCTACAAGTACAAATTGATGAACCCGACTTTTAAAAAAAATATATTTTTTTTTTTACAACAATAAGAAAATTTTCTGAAAAACTATTACAACTTGACTATATTAGGTCCTATTTGACTGTTATGTTTGTTCAATTAAATAAAACATACCTACCCACTAGGTTTTTGGTAATTTCGATTTACTCGTATGACAACAAATCGTATTTACTTTTTTACCATTTGTCTAGCAATTTTTTTTTTTAATTCTCTTAACGAGCGTAACTTACCTATGTCGGCTTCGTTGATCGTAAAAGGATCCGATCGGGTCTCGAACAGGTCGATGGAGTCTCTGGACTCGTAGAACAGCGTGGCTTTCAGTTTGAGTTCGTCTTCCAGGAAGTGAGCTATGCACTCGTACAGCTCGACGGGATGGCTGGGGACCAAGTAGGTGATCAGTCGCAACGATTTTTCCATGACGAACTTACTTTTGGTCGAGTCTTAAGCACAGCAAAACGACGGAGACGATGACTTCCCGGACTTTCTATAATGAAACGCTGACGACGGCGGTTGTGTTGTAACGTAAACCGCGCAGACCGGTGGGATGGGAAACATGTTTCCCTGGATATAATAATATAATATACATGCACAGAGGTGGAACCACAACGATATACCAAAATATATATTATATTATAGTATATAATAATAATAATAATACCAACATTGTAGTAATAATGATATTATTATACATTTAAAAGTACACGCTTATCGGCGAAAAGGAAACTATGCTTTTTGGACATTGGCGTGTAGATAAGCGGCTCGCGATTACAACAGCTACTTCAATAATACTCATCACGATGTACCTATATGGACCAGTCTCGATAAACCCAGCACAAACCGTTTACAGGAAAGAAAAAAAAATACACATTTGTATCCAGTTGTTAACAGTAGTTAAACTCATACGACGTACCTACCGGGATCGGGACATGGGCTTTTTTCTAATCTATACAACTCGATAAACCTAATAGGAAATGTCTGCCCAGAAACTTCCAAATCTCTTTCTAGCTCCCAAAAATTTAGCGATTCCACTGGTGACCTTGGACATTTCTAGATAATTTAGGCCTATACAACGTCATGTAATGGTATATTATTTTGCTCTAACGATGCCGATACTTTTGGTTTGCAACGAACATAACAGCCATATCTACCGCAGGTGGGGTAGAGTTGGAAACAAATACTATACACTATTCTGGTTGGTCGGAGGATACTAAAAAAATGCTGACGGGTAAAAGACATCTCACGTTGTGATCAATGCATGTACTCGTAATGGTTTATTATTATTATTATATTAACCGTAAGAACTGTATTGTGGAGGTATGCGTTGGAATATCACGTACACTCGTTTACCGCACCAATTACACACGATCGAGGCGAAAAATAATCAAAAGGTTCGAAGTCTGGGTATGCGCCGAGCAAGAGAAATTTTTATTTTTAAATAAAACATTAGTATCTAGAAACGTGTAAACTTTCTACAGAATTATTGATAACGGTCGCGTTAGCTTCACAAATCTATACGGACATACCGTTCTATAAAAACGTGACGAGGCGCCAAAGTCAAACTGTTCTATATTATATTATACTTATTATATTTACTCAAGATAGTACAGGAAAAACGGCTAACGAAACGACCATGAGCGTTGGTCGTATAGATTTAAAAAAAAAAACCGGTGAGCTGATGCATCATACTATTGGTTAAAATTTGGTAATAATCGTAGTAAAATGAATGACTAATAATGATGAAAATAATAATCGTTGTAAAATAGCTGTTGCATCACAGTCAGTTAAAAGTTTCAATAGCAAAACTTTTATCCGAGAACGGGTTTGACCAAGCACCAAAAATATAAGGTTATAAATAGCCCAAATAGTCTGTGTGGTCCAAAAGATACAAGCACATTTTATACATAACAATATAAACGAGTAAGAAAGGTAATTGTTTGATTTCTATCAAAAATTGTGGGTGGTTTTTACATTACGGGTATGACTGAGGTGTTGTTGTTAATCTAATTTGTGCCACGGAGCCGTTTAAGAGAGGTACGGTAGAAAAAAAATCAAAAACCGTATAATCTGTGTCTTGAAAATAAGTTCCTGACGAGATCAGTGTTGGAGAGCCGGTACAATCGGATATTGTCAAATGTCCATTACAACAGGTAGTCGATATGCTTGCCGGTACTTACCGCGGCCGCCTTTGCGCGGGAACGCCTTTACTCCAAGACATGATAATGCACGTATGGATTATAATTTTTTTTTTTTTTAGTAATATTGATATCCACCGTGTATATTATAACATTGTGCTTGACCGGGTAACCATATGTAATACTAAGTTCACGGCGGGTCGACGACACCGAGAGCGATCCAAACGAACGAAAGTCCCACCGACCGACACTGATTTTCTAACACGATTGATGAAACCTTCGCCCGTCCGTAACGCACTCGACCGACAATTTTTTTTAGTAAACCAATTTTTATAAAATAAAAAAAAAGTCAATTTTTTTAACGCGCATTTTGAGTACACTTGTACATTTTTCTTTTAATCCTATAAAACGAATCGCACAAATCGACACCGCGTCTCCGTCCGTACTGAACCGACCGACTGTTGGTCGCCAGACATGCATGCACATTATACACACTTTCTGCGAAACGCACTCGCACACTTAGACGCGGCACGACGTCTAATGGAACAGCCGGTCCGGTTGACCGTTTATAGACCATATATAATAATAATATTATTTTCTCTGCCACTTGCCGTTTGCCTGTATAATATAATATCCACTAGCGCTGGCGAACGCGAAGCAACACACTCACTCATTCACTCGCTTATACACACACACACACACACACACACACACACACACACACACACACACACACCGCATATCGTATATTATACGCTAAAGCTAACGCAGCCGGATATATACTATAAAGTATAATATAACATTATTATACCGGACGGCACAACCGGTATTGTTATACGGTATATCTACCTATGTGTGTGTTTACAACACACGGTATGATAGGTATACGGTTTGTGCAAAGTTGCCGGCCACGTCCGTCCGCCGTCGAAAAGGGCAAAAAAAACCTATTACCGGAAATACCGGCGAAATCTAAACCCAAGTCCTTTATAAAGTATCAAGTATACGTGACAGACAACGGGGAGGAGGGATCAATCCATTTAGGCCGATACTTTTCACTGAAGATTTTCCCACCACACACACACACACACGCACGGACAAACACATACCAAACGTGGTTGTGGTTTACATGCACAATCCGGTGGAAGTTTTATTGAAAAAAATAACCTACGCGTTAACCCACTTGGACAGTACCTAGTACGAATTTTTATGTAAGAATTGCTTTCTTTTGTATACCAACATAGAATACAAGTTAATAATGTAGGGGATGCTAAACATTTTAGATTTAATCTTAATCTGACAAGAGCAAATTTTAAACTAATACAAATATTCACACTTATTAGATTGGTCATGAGAAACGCGAAAGATGTTAAGTTTGGTTTAATACTTTTTTTTCAAATTTTTTTCAATTTCCATCTGACCTTTTGAAAGTAAAAGATATCTATTTTGTTTACAACCAGCTCAGCCATTGAACGATCAGCAATTATTGTTATGAATTAATCGTTAAACGAAGCGATGAAAGAGAATGCATATTGCATTTAATTTAAGGTTTTAAACCATTTTTTTCTTTAACGCGCTAAGGACGTTTACTTCAATAAATGTGCCTAATAACGTGAAAGCACGGTGTAAAACGTTGGCTACCGTTTAATACTAATAACGACAATTATTGTTATTATAATAAGTATATTAGATATATGACATTTTACAATGGGTTTGTGACTTATAATTGTTACAAATTTAAAACACGAGGTAATTATCTGGTTTGATGTTAAACGATACATTACTATTATTATTATTATTATGTATTGAGGCATTCGTTTTTACACGACGGCTATGTTATATTATTATGATTTATGCCCAAGACGAGTAGGCGTGTTATGATTAGTGATTACCACAAGGGTACTGTTTAAATGGGTACCAACGAATATGGTTATTGCGGAAAAAACGGCACTTTTGCTAAGTATAAGTTGAATAATTGGGTGGATTTACTTAAGTAGTATAAACGGTAGCAAACACCAAAATAAATATAGGTACGTTAAAGTTATGCCACACGTATAATAATTAAGTCGATTTCACGTAATTCTATGATAGTTTGCATGTTACAATGGAAAATGCAATATTATAATATTGAATTTTCCGTTTTAATTGATATATCTACAAATTTTACTTACCTACTCCAAATTTCTTGAAAATATTTTAAGTACAGTTTTGAGTAAACATAAGTCATTCAACAATAATTATAAGACATAGTAGAATAATTTAAAACAAATTTAAATAAAACAATTGACCATTTTCAATTTGAGTCAAAAATGTTAATGTGTTACAAATTATATAAAAAAAATAAACATATTTTTGTTTTTTTTGTACCTACAAACAAAATTGATTTTGCATTTATTCAATTGGTTTAAAATTATCCGTTGTTAAAAATTGAACAAATTTCCGGTTTCCAGTAAATTGTCTAATAACAAACTCGCTGACAATTTTGATGTCAAATTTTTTTTTACTACAAAACGAACTATTTATTTTGGCAGATTTTCTAGTGACGTTATTTTTCCTCAGTCGATCGGTCACTTGATCGAAATGATTAAGTCAAACCTTCGTAATAATGTCAAGTTATTTAGAAGCCAAAAAAATCGATGAGTTGTCATTTCTAAAACTAAAACAGCTGGTATCTTTTAACTGGCCACGTACTAACAAAATAATTATTCAAGTGTGTCTACTGTCTACTAATTATAATATTTATGTATCATCATTGTCAAAAATATTAACTTTTAAATTGTTTGCTCACAAATTGCTTAAAGGGTTAAGATATTCATAAAACTAAATAACTAGAGAGTTATTATCATGTACCAACCAACAATTTTTAATATCATCTAGAATAGTACATATCTATTATTATGTATACTTTGTAAGTATAAAATATGCCCGTAGAATTCTATAAAACATCATTGTATAACATGCAAGATTAAATTAACGAGAATGTAAAAATTATTTATAAATATTTTATTTTTAAACTTTATTACAATGTACTATTGGACTATACTTAAAGTTTAATTTGTATCGACAATCTGATAAAATATTATTACTTTGCATATTGGTCCACGGTATGAAATTTCAAAGAATGTAAACATGATTGTATATTATTATTGTATAATAGGTAATTATATAATATATAATTATATTTTATATTTACAATCGTGTGTAACTTATTACAACTACGTTGATAAGTTATAATGTTATGAAAAGAGATATAATACGTCAACCAGGATACAGTATATCGGTATGGCCCATTTAAATCTGACTAAGAGAGACAAACATTTTTGGCAAACTTCCATGATGTTATTGTATGTTAATGACCTTGTTGTTATTGCTGTATGTAACAGAAAGTAACTAACTCGCATAACACCTAGGAAAATCGTAACATAAGCATAGTAATGTATTAACAGTAAAAATGTTCATTACATATTTTATATAATATTATACTTGTATTACTTACTACTGTTTTGCAAACAATTTAATTATTTTTTAGAGACAAAATAATTAATCTAAGCCACAAAATGTAATTAAAATTTGGTTTTGTTTGTTAGTTTTCAAATCGCATAACAAAATCAAATTATTCATTCTTATTTTATTAATACTTTAAAATGACGTTGAAAATAATATACTAGGCGGTAGTTTGGGTCTTATAATATTTTTTAATAATAGAGGTAATCTGAGAATACATCGATTATTTTTGTAATGTTACAGGAATCTGTCGGTCTAATATGTTTTGATAAGCTTGTCTTGATCAGGATTTTTATTAACAATAATTATTATTGCAATCGTAAAATGCACATACACTTTGAAAGCGATCGAAAGACAGTCTAGTATGTGAGTGTGTTCGCGTGCACCACCGTGTCATATCCGGTTACCGAATGCCGCTGAATCAGTGCGTTTGTTTTTTTTTTACTTTTCATTTCAATGCACATTATTGTAATAATGTTTAGTCAGACGATTGGAAATCCACTACATCGTTTCACAACGCCCATTGCGAGCCACACAAACTATGTATTTTTATGAAACTGTTACGATTATTATTTATTCTATAACCCACCCCCCCCCCATATTATCAATGCACACGAGAAGCAAACGTTGCATAATAGAGTAGATCAGATGGTAAGCGAACGGGTAGAAGATAAAAAATCGGTTTTGTAGGAAATATAGATTCATAGGTAAGGAAAATAGAAGAAGAAGGTATAAAAAAATACGAAGACATGAAAGAAAAGAAGGGCTAAAAGAGGAAGAATGGTAACAAGATAAATGTATTTAAGAGATGGTGCTAATGTTTATTGTATTTTGTGTTAATATATAATAATATAACACGGCACCTATACATGTTATTATATACTTAAAATGTTCGATGTCCCCAAAAAAAAATGAACCATAAGGTGTTTACTTTCAGGTTTTATAAAAATATCTTTAACACACATTCAATTTAATTGTAATAAACTTTGCAGATTGTGCATACTTATTTTTAGATGTTATATGAACAATGTTGTTGAGCACTTTTATTGATAAATATTGTGAAACTTATTATTTTAATTTAACACCGTAACTAATTAGTTTCCCACAAACGAACAGTATAAAACTATTTCAATAGATTTTTTTAATAAATTATTCATCCGTGTGACCGTGTACCTAAGACTAAACATATTATATTTTAATTGTATGCGTAACTAATTCTATATAATTACTAAGCTCTTAATTTATTTAATTATATTTTTTTACATAGTATAATATATTCTACTAAGTATTTTAATATCTAGGTCGACTGCTACTTTTTAAAGTTTTTACTTTAACATTTTCTTAACGCATTACATGGCTCGACTATCTTGATTCGTATCTCCTTTAAATAACTAAATATTCAAAATATTATAGGTAGTATAATTATTTTGTCAATTTTTTGTTAGACCAACTGTGGTAAATATTATTTTTAATTAATGTCACATTACTATGAACCCTATATAAATCTATTGATAATAACACAATTTAACACTTTTAGTATCTATATATTATTTCTATTAGAATTGTATTTTTTATTTTAACAACACTGAATTAAATAAAATATGTGATTTTTACACTCTTATATAACAACCAAAAAAAAATATCTGTTTTTTTTTCACTTATTTACTTTTGCATATTTTGCATTAATCAAAAAAATAAAATATGATAATTAAAACAATTGAATTCAAATCCATTTTTAATCATTACCATAAAAAATAACGCTACCAAATATATACAATAACCTGTTTCCTAAACATGAACATATTATACGAAAACAATAAATATAAGATCTATAACGTTAATTATCGTTAAAATATTATAATATGTTAGAATTCGTATAGTGACTTTATTTAAGAAACTAATGTATAGTAATAATTTGATGGGAGATATCAATATCTATAATGCATGAACTATTTAAACCCTCTTAGTACTACACAATATTATTTTGTTTTATATTAGCATTCTATTGAATTTATTTAGTTTTTACATATTTAGACACAATTTTTATAGTGTACAAACAACGAAATATTGACATTTGTACAAAGCAAGCTGTAAAGGGTACGTAAACATGTCACAGCAGTTCCATTAAAAACTATGTTTTATTTTTAAATAATATTTTTTAATAAGAAAAAACAGTTTTATGGAGTCTAGAAAGTCGTTGGAAACTAATTACTAAAATAAGATACTTGTTTATTAAATACCATCAACTAATTATTTAGATAATAATTAATGTGTAATGCAACCATCAAAAATAAAACTGTAACTAGGAGTAAGAATAAGTCTGATTATCAAAATATTGGGTCGTTTAGGTAGTGTTATGGCCATTTGAAAGATATTCTGAAACACTTTAATTTTTTTTCAAGCACCTCCAAGGCTTGTGTCTAGAATGGTAATCTTACTTTTTGTAACTTTTGACAAGCGAGCTTTTAAGTATTTATTTTCTTTAAGAGTTTGCGTGAAATTGTGTACCAAACTAATTCAATTTTTGAATTTTTTTACACAAAGTGAAGGGTGTTTCATCGTCTACCAAACAGAGACATTGTGGTCTTCGACATTACCTAAGTATACGGGCTAGGTCGACTTTATTTGATTACTATAGATCGTCCATGTTATTTATATTTTATTACGAAAAAAATGTTTCAAATGTTCTTCATTAGTTATGAGAAACTGGAAATATACAACACAATTAACGTTGATTTCGAAAACACTATGGCAGTTTGACTAATGCTATCTATAATTTCTATGTAGCACGATATCGATACGACTCCCCCCCTACCCATCGTTTATATTGTAAACAAAGTTATTCGATCGATGGAGGATATCACTGAACAAAATTGAATCCCGTAGGAGACGCGATGGTGACTCGTGTGTGCTCTAATGGCATTGTTGTTGTGCGTTTTAGGGAAAGGGCGGTAACGGTAACAGAACAAAGTCAGCTAAGGGTGAAAACGACTACGGGTCGTTTGACCTAGAAAAGCCTGTCGGTATACGCTGCAAAAGGGGTGTGAGTGATATCCTGTGTGTGTGTGTGTGTGTGTGTATGTGGATGTATATAAATACATACATACACACGTATTGGCCAGTTATCCGAGAAGACAGTTTGAAAAATTATTTTGCGCGTTAGCCGATTGGGGCGCGCAGACAAAACGGCGGCGGCGGATGTGCTTTATGTGCGGAGGTGGCGCTTGCGTGTCGACGTCGGTGGAAGGTAACCGTTTTACCAGCAGCGGCACTGCACGGCCCATATATATGTATATATATACATTTTACTTACACATACATAATATTTTATCGACTCCCAAACGGCCAGTGCGACTCTGACTTGCTGCACCGCGGGATGTGACTTCTCCACAACCGCGAAAATCCTGTTGATACCATCAAATTTTCGCCTTATCCTCACCCTTCACCAACATCTTGGTCGTGTGACGACGGCCGTTTGCGCACACCGACAACCGTCCGGTCACCATTTATTGCTGGTTGAGTTCTTCGTCCCCTCCGGGGAGACATTGTTGCGGGACACCGCCACTGGGTCTGCCCGGCAGGAGAGGTACGTGACTATTAAAGCTTACATAGATTACTGTAAAATAAAAACGTAATTTATCATGTCCGCCGAACGAATATTTGCTGGATTTTGGTAACCCGTTAAGTTCCGCAGTTGCTCGCGAAAAATATATTACCACATCAGTGGTTAAGTTGAGTTACTGCGGTTATTTAACGTAACAAAAATCAACAAACCAATATTGCCCTATACCGATGTCACGATGAAAATGAGAAATCTAAATAAAAGCCAGCATCGTGAGGTTAGCGAGAAGGGGGTATCGAGTCATTAAGAATTATCGAGTATTAAGAACATTCAAGAATGTGACAATTTCACTTTTTTTAAGAAAAACCTCTTCCTATAACCCCAACGTTAGGGGGCAATTACTAATTAGTGTTTAAAATCGTGTTATTAGGTTATTTTTGGGGGTTTTCCTCTATAAAAAAATACATTTTGACTTAGGATCATAAAGAAATTTTATACAACAATACATTGAATAATAGGGCACACATAATTTTACCAGCAGACAAATGTTCAAACCATATTATGTCTGAAAAATACCCCACAAAAAATCTAAATAAATAAAAAAATCTGTATTGTAGTTTTTTTTTTTTTTGTATCATAAAGTGTGCTATAATGTGTAATTACAAAAGCAAGAAATTAAAAAAAAAAAAAGATCAAGCCTTTCGGGAAGAAAATACTTTTGATCCTATAACTAAGGAATAAAAAAAATTTTTTTTTAAACTGATCATACTATTTTTCGCAGTTATTTTATATAATTTTGTTGTTTATTTCAAAATATGTGAGTTTTTAGTGTTTTCCTGATTTTTAATAGAAAAGAGTATACTTTTTTCAACTTTTGGCCTAAAAGTACCTTACAATGTCTATAGACATACAAATAAATACATATTAAACATATTGTAAAACAAATTCCTTCTAAGCTAATTGCCAAAGTTAAAATAATTTATAAAGACACGAAAAACATGTTTATTTTTTCATTTATAACATTTGATCGTTGAAGTTGTAACTCAATATACATAAGTCACTAATGTGGGGAAAAAGTAACGCGTTCAACAATTACAAACTTACTGACTTAATTTAAACTATACAATTTCTGCCCAGCTCTGATCTGTAAATACCTAAAAATAATATATCACATAGCGTTAACAGGAAATCCAATACGTTTGGCAAAATCAAATGAAATTGTAAACTATTTATCATCCATAGCAAAAATTATGCCAAAAAGCATTTGATTGAAATAGAATTTCTATTTCAAACGTTTTGGCGATGGAGATGCAATATATTTAGTATTAGAGAATTAGAGTTATAACGTATATATTTTTTCTGTAGTACACTAACTATATAGGCGTTCATAAATCATTTAGTTACTCAGAGACCTAGGACTAAAAGTGAACTTGTTCCTATGACCTAAGCCAACGTAAATTCGATTTGTTTTTTCAGCTTCGATGCAGTGATAACACTAAAATATATTTCCCACACTGTCGAGCGTAAACAGACTATACACCATCATCATTATAGAATATATTTTTTTGCTAACGTTGTGAACCTCCTAATGGACATAGGACATGTAATATAAATTATAGAATTGTATTTCCACAAGACCGTCAACCGACGTTTTAATAATAGGAATAACGTGGAACGTAGATTCTAGTGTTATTAATATCAGGATGGCATTCGTGCCCAGCTCTGTCATCATAGTAATAATATAAAAAAATTAATTGTTAGGCAAAAGCCTTTTGTATTGTGTAAGGTCGGTGATATAATGTACAATATGTACTCAAAACGGTATGAAACTCAATGTATAGGTATAACAAGATATAGATTGAGGAAGAAACCATTTCCCGTTATTTCAAGGACAAATACCGCATTAATAACAAGACTGAAATGTGGATGAAAAATTAATTCATTATCCCTTCTTATTTAATACGTTAAACAATATTCTTATGAAATGTTATTATTATAATTTTTTTTTAAAGGATTTTTCCCGACGGTCGCCATGCAAGAGGTGGAAAGGGCCAAGGCCAAAAAAATGGCGAAAAAAGAAAACAGTTGAGTATACCTAATATAAAATATTTTTGAAACAGTTGAAATCTATATTAATAGTATGATATATTTTTTAATTACACTAATGTGTTAGAGATCTATAATCGATATACACAATACACGATGCGTTATTCGGCACTTTACAATAAGCCGACGCATTGTTTTCGAGTGAACCTCCCCGAGTTAAGCCTATCCCGATGCCATACCAATTGCTCTACAATTACCTTATCTACATAATATTACCGACCGGTGACAATCCATAGCTTTAACGCTTAACCGACCGACATACATATCATCATTATCATATTATCTGTTAGTTTTTCTGCTAACAATATTGTGTAGAAGTTGTAAAAAAAATAAAAAGTAATATTTAACAAATAATTATTTTTACTGAACCCAAAGTCAGACGATTATTCATTTTAATACAGGAACATACAAATGCGTAAATAAATTATTTTTGAAATAACTTTTTTTTAAACCTTTTGTAGGTTTTTAATACGGAAACCTATTTTGTTTTAAATAAACAAAAAAATTAGGCTGAAACAAGTAAAAGAAATTAGTGCAGATGGATTAGAGGTATAAATGGACAGAAAAGAAACTGTGTGGGTATAATAAATAAAAGCTAAAGCCATGGAAATATGTGGACTGTAGAGTAAGATGGTTATGGATAATGATTTATGGACAGGGAAAAAATGGCTATCCTACAGTATTCGTATGGGATAAGACGAAGGAGAAAATCTTATTTTAGTTGTATAACAGGATAAACTTTCAAAATACCTAAATAAAACAGGAAAAAATTAGAAAAATATCCAAATCAAGACTGCAGTAAAAAAAAGATGAAAACATTGTTGCCGAAATACGACGTATTCGCGGAGAGTAAATAATTTGTATGGTTAAGGGTTTTTATTATTATTTTATTACATATAACCATAACCAATAAGTGCTTAAGTTTTTTCTAGATCAAGACTGCAGACCAGGTTTTAATATTACACATAATACAAGTTGTGATTGGCATAAAAACTCTATGTTAATAATATGATTTATATAATAATAGTACCTTATCAGGTCGTTAAAAATATAAATTGTGAATTCATTGTTTTTTAACCCTTTCGTTCCTGGGAATTTTTTTTTTCGAAAAAAAAATCAACAATTTTTTACGTATCGGACTGATATTGATGATCAATACAGCTGTGTCGATTTTTTTATCATCAATCTATACTAAAATTTGTGTTTAAAGACAATTTTGATAATGATAGAACGTTGTTAATATTTTATTCAATTTTTTAAAGTTAAATCCTCGTACTAGGATGTCAGTAACGGAAGGGATAATTATTTAATTATTATTGATAGATAATTAGACTTGTTTTTAAGAACTAGAACATTTCATTACTGCTACATATTTTCTTTTGTATTAAATGTGTTACAATTATAATAAAATATATTTCATAATAGTTTTCTGATTATCCTTCGACATCATAAATTAATTCGTTAGGTTAATGACCTAACATAAGCAAGTTTTATGTTTTATACTTAAGTAATTGAACTAAAATTAAAAAAAAAAACGGTAGGTAGAATTCGCGGTAAAAAAAATATAAGTACAGTTATGTTAAAAATGAGTACTGCAATTTGAATAAGTTATTATAGATATTGGTGTTAAAAAAGAAATAACTTGAAAAAATTTGAAAAAAATTGATAATTAAAGCATTCTGCGTTAGTTTAATTAATTTTTTAATTAAATTAATCATCATGATAGAAAGCAATGTTATAAATTATTACTGTGATAAAAGAATATAAGAAATTAATATTTCCTATTAAAAATTAAATGCTCAATAACAATAGTGGTATTTTTGTCTTCTTTTAAGTATGATTGGGGGAAAGTAATGGCCTAGGCTAGCCCCCCTCCTTCGGTCTGTCATGCACCAAAAAAAAGTATTTTTTTAAGTATTAAAAGATAATCTTCATTAATTAGTCTAATCAACCAAGTATTAATTACGCCACTGTAGATTTATGTAAATTAATTTCAGGTCTGAAATATTTTTGAAGAAACAGCGCTAACCATCAACTAATGAAAAATTCCAAGACCGCATAAATATTACTTACAAGATACTTCATGTATATACCTATAATCTGCTGGCATGCGTCTTCCTGCTTGGCTAGGTTCAATTGGTTCATAGCATATGGCGACTTATTATTACTTATAATCAGAGCCTGATTTAGAATTTTTGAGGCTCCGGATAAAAGAAAAAAATGGGCCTGTTATTAAAAACTGTAAATTAAATTAAAAGGATTAAATCTAGTAGGTGGACCCCTGATCCGCATGGGACCTAGACAAATACCCATAATGTCCTTGCTTAAATAAGGTTCTACTTATAATAAACCATAAGGATATTGCTAATGTTTGAAACAAGGCTTTTTATTATCATAAATAATAATAATACTATAATATAGAAAACATCATCATCCGTATTATCAGTCATTATAAAAATGAAAACCTTACCGGTCATTAACCTGGTCTGTTTTTTTTATAATAAACTTGTATCAGAAGTCTTACGTAGCTTTCTATTATAATATATACCATAATAACTTATGAACATTATCTGACGGTATTAAATTTGTCACAGTAATTAGATAGTATTGTTTGAGATGAGCGTTATAATGAACGGTAAATTAATACCGAGATTGCATGTATACCTTTAACCCTGAGAAAATGAATAATTATTTAAAAACCATACAACTTTATTTTCGATAATATCTAATTTAGTAAAAATTTAAGTATCATAGTTTACAAGCTTTATAAAATATTAATTCATACGATTTAATATTCGTGCACAAGAATGTATTCAATTATTCAAATTTATGTTTGACTGCATTAATAACAATAAGTTTTTAATTCCTTTTAGGTAAAATAGAACGGCAGAAGTCAATGGAAAACCAAAAAAAGACACTGCCTAAAGCACCAAGCACGGAATCGAAAAAACAGGACAAATAACAAAAAAAATGAAGCACTTATCAATTTTAAAAGTAAGTAAAATACAGTAGTAGAAAGTAAGTAATACAAAGTAAGTACAAGAAATGAGAATGGTTTAATGTAACTGACAGAGGTACTTTGAAAATCAGAATAGGAAGAACATAGACAGGTAAAAGTTAAATAATTATTAAAAAGTAGGGGCATTAAAATAAAAAAGAAACTGAGTGCGAGGTAGTCTCAAAAATAAATTGATGGATAAAAAAAATGTATGGCCGAGTGATAAGCATACATCCATTAGCTATCTTTGTCATTCTAAAAGAGAGCCAGTGTTTTGAAGTTTTGTACCAAAAAACATCACAAGACGTTGACTAAATAACATACGATAAGTCCATTCTTGTTATAATTTACATGTTTGTTGTTCTGTCCAAAAAATATTATTAAAAATACATTTTTGAATTTCGATTTTGAGGAGTACTAAAAAATACGTTTCATTAATAAAATGTTTGCAAACTTGTTGTCTTTAATCACAAGAAAATAGATTTTTCAACTGAAAATCAGTTTCATAGAAAACCTAGTAAAAAAAAGTTTTTCAGCCGAGTCTGCAACCACGAAAGAGCATTTTCATGTCTCGTTGAAGTACCGAATAAATTTAGATTAGGTGTGGAATTATGATTAAAAAAAAAAAATTATATGGAGCTTCCAGTTACAGCATAAGCCAAGGAGATTAAAAATTATGTACAATCATGTTTCTGGCTAAAATTGTAGTGTTTATTATCTGGCCATAAGTAACTTAACATAGTTTAATATATAGAGAATTAAACTGTTTTGAATTTATTATTTAGTTCTAATTTGAACGTTGAACGTACATCATATCTCTTATCTCCTATATCTTACCCCTATCACTCACCCCTATCCCCTACCCCTATCTCCTGTCCCCAACCCCAACCCTATCCCAACCCCACCCCTTATCTCCTATCCCTATTTCCACCCCACCCCTTATCTCCTACCCCTATTTCCACCTCCAACCCATCTTCGTGTGGTAACGCTCTTTTGGTAACGCTTTTTTTCGGTTATTTGCCATAGCTAATTCCACACCTTTCCCATACCCACCTCATCTTCAACCCTTTCGCTTTTTTCGTTACGCCTTTTTGGTAACGCTCTTTTGGTAACGCTTTTTTCGGTTATGTGCCAGAGCTAAGACATGAAAATGTCAAAAAACCATCGACTGATTTTACTGATTTAAAATCGGATCTTCTTAATAACATTAATTATTGACCTTTTTGTTTTGAAGTCGACAAATTTGTCATACTATTTAAATGCTCAAAATCCATCTAGGCGTTTATATTTCTTAGCTTTTTTTCCTTTTTTTTTTACTCAACATTTATGTATTTGAGTAGAAAACTGACCAGAAAGGTACCAATATGATTTTTTTTTTAAACACATATTACCTTTATTTATTTAGAATGAAAATAATAGTTTATATTTATTTGTTTGTTTCAGTTGATATTTTTCTATCACCGTATAACAAGTCAATAATATACCAGTACACTTTATATCGAAAACACATATTATTTAACATTTTATTATTATATTATACCGGATATGAGACTCATCGATGTACATATCACTATCGATGGATCGCCTACGTTTTTTATCAAAATTATATTATATAATTTATAATATGTAGTACGTAGTATGTAGTAATAATATTGTGTAGGTACCGTAAAAAAAAATAATATCTGTTATGCTATTTGAGTAAGTTAACAGCTTATACACTAAATCGTATGTATCATTACTAATCTTAGTTTTATTATATTATTTATTATGATTACAATTTACACAAATAATAGTATTATTATTATTAATTTAATAACAATGTATGTTGTTGGTATCACACCAAAATTGAACGATGATACTTGTACGAGCGTTATAAATATACTGATTTATCAAATGTCAAATCATCCGCTTGGAAGGCAACTGCGGCGGTGTGAAAGTGATTGGTGTGGACGGATGAAAAACGAATAAAAACCTATCAAAACACGTTAGTTTGAATTTCTTTTTCCGCTTCGATAGGTATCCTTAAACGACCGGCTGTCGGTATAATATTAATTTTACTTGGGTAAAATGCGCGGCAAAACTCGTTTGCTGTCCGCGCGAAAGGTCTATAAAATCGTCGAGGCACAAATAAAAAAACCAAGACGAGTAAATTATCAAAAAAGGCAAAAACCTTAGCAAACAGCTGCTTGTACCACCGCACTATGAAACTCCTTCACAAAGATAACTGACCGCGCTGACGTCAAGCTTATAATTTTCTCTACAACCCGACGTATCAAACAAACCATCCGTTTACAAATATTTATAAGTGCCCAACGTTGCTCATGCGAACAGTGATAATTATTTGATATTGACCATGAAGTGCTGTCATATAAGCGTTTTATTATAACCAAAACTGGGCAAAATCCTATTCTAAATCTCTCTCAAAAAACAATAATATTTCAATCTATTACATGAAACTTGATTTCATTTTAATTTGTTGTTGCCTATTGTGTTCTGTGCTTTGTAGGAACATATTGTATTTTCATCTAAGTCAGGTCGTCACAAAAATATTATAAGAAGAAAAATATGAAATTTATTAAAATTAAATTTGAATACCTGACTTCCAACAGACGTATTACAATGTAACGGTTTTGTGTTTTTTGTAAAATAAACATCCCACGAGGATTTCAGGTCTGGTATTGCGAATACGTAACGAATGGATATTGCGGATATAACAAAACAGATCCGAATAAAACGGTAATATCAGTCGGGAGGAAAAGCAGAGTAGGTACATCCATAATGTTATTAAACTAGTTTGAGCTGCTAGTTAGTTAGCTGCGCATTCGTTTGTACGTGTTTGGAGAATGAATGAGTCGTTAGTTAAAATAAATAAATACAAAAAACTTATTAAACTAGCCGCGTGACGGGCATAATGAATGAACTTATATGGTATATGTGAAACATATGTTATACTCAAGAGTCCGGGAGCACTAAACCGAGCACCTATTTTCACCGAGGGATGTGTGCATTCGCTTTTTATCATATGATAGCAGAGATCTATTATTGCACTAAGAGCAATTACCTTGTTGATATCTTTAAAAAAAATAATAACAGTTTTTTTGTTGTGTTATGTAGAATAATAAATACAATTACAGTAATAAAAAACCTATATTTTACATATTTTGAAGCTATATCGACTTCTAAAAACTAATAAAGATCTATAAAAAAGACCTAAACTTTGAAAATAATCAAACGGTCAAAAATTATAGTTGATAAATTGTTTTCAGACATCAGGTATAATTTTTTTCTAAAAAAAACTAATAATAATAAATAAGAAAAAACCCATTAGTAGGGTTTTCAGGACATCCGGTGAATAATATATTATATTATTATATACCAGTGTACACGCCATTTTGCTGACACGGTGCAATTTCGTCGTTTGCTTGAACGCGATGGCGGCACTTAATTTACGCTTGACACGTAAGTATAGTGTAGTAAAAAATCGATCGAATTTTTATATTATGTACAACCTTCAGGTGACTTTTTGGTGGGATAGGTGGGCTACATATTGCCTCCAAAGTCCACATTAAACTTTATAAAATTATAGTAATTTGTACTACATTACGACCTACTCTATTGTTGTCTAATTTGTAAGATTTTTTACATACATCTACTACTAATAATATATATGAAAATATGTGTATTTCAAATTTCTTACACATTTTAATTGCAAACAGTTTTTTAATTTTTTCCATAAAAAAAATTCATATTACATAAATGTATTATTATTAAAAAAAATATCACAAAAATATCAAAATATAATTTAAAGTAGTAATCGGTTAATAAAAAGCTTTGAATAACTATTTTTCTTAAAGCTAAAAACAAAAAATAAAGATTTTATGTAAATACAGGATATATTGTACTACCGTCGAGTGTAACTTATGAGTAGATAAAAATAAAATTACATTTCACCTCATCTTTGGCTTAAAATCAAAGCGATTATTATAAACAAGCTTATAATACACTATTATAAAACCATCAATGTTATAGATTTTTAAGATAATTAAATTTGCCGTTGTCAAATTAAAAAGTAGTCAGTAATAGCCGCCAGAAAAAGGTTTCAACACTATGTGAAATTCATAACTATATTACTTAATGCATTATTACTTTAATAACTTGGAATATTAAGTATTGGAAAATATTAACCGGTCAAATTATAACACAGTGAAAGAGCCGGGGATGACATGACGTAGCACAGTCATTACTTACAGATTATAATATTTTAGTTGATATATATATATATATATATATATATAATAATTAATTATAATTTTGTAGGGCACTTGGAATAATAAACAACGCAATATTCTGTCACGGAGTTCTAAAAAATATATATATATAACGCAATATCTATTTTTAGGTCGAGCTTACGGACCTTAAGTTGTTTTATCGATTGCGGTAGGTAATACGGTCAACTCTGAAAGTCCGAGGGCCAAAGTAAACCGTACCAGATGTTAATCGTTAAATTGACTTTGGAAAATACAAAACCTATACAATTTTCTTACAGTAAAAGATTGTTTTCCAAAACGACCGATACCTAATAGTTTTTAGACCTGACGCTTAATAAATAATAGATGGGAAAATTGTTTTTCTACTACGTCGTTGTTCGTTTAAAAATCGTGTTAAATGAATCTAGACTTGATGAGACTAGATTTTGTTATAAACAAAATTATGAATGAGATTCGACTAGTTCATTGCATAATATACCTATTGGATTTTGAAAATTTTAAATAAAGCCAAGGCATTATGATGAAGAAAATTTTGCATAAAAGTCAATTTAGCTAAACCGCCAATGTGTACAAAATATATTATGTACCGTTTATGGTAGGTTTTATATCCGTTATATTGGGTTCTGTGAAATCAACGTCGCCGAATGAGTGTTAAATATATTTTATCATGAAATACTACAATACTTATTATTGAAAAAGTATTTGCGGGAACGACATTAAATGCGAATTCTTTCTTAAAATCATGTTAACTTAAGGTATTTTGGCTGTTTATACATGCATAATATGTAATATGTTAGAAGGATTAAAAATGTATCTAATCTTTTATAAATTGGCTGATCAGCTAATTCGATTAAATATGATGATATAGCCGTCATTTTGAGTAAAAATAAGTAAAATGGTGTTTTCATAGTTGTCGATACTGAATTAATATTAAACCCAATTTATTTATTTTTACTTTGATGTAATACATTACAATTTTAAATTTATTTGATACAAATATATTATATTAACAAACAAGTTTAACATTTTCTAATTTTTATTTTTTGCCAAATGAAAGTTGTATTTTCTCTATTTCTTAATATTGGTTTTGTCTAGCATTCATTCAGCTCAATCAGTCAGCTTTATATTTTTTCGGTATACTATGAATGGATCCTTTTATCGTTTATTTATTTACTAAACTAATATTACTAACTAAATAACTAAAATAACAAAAAGATAAATGTTTTGTAGAAATGGTAAAATTGTAATTCTAAACTTTCTATTTAATTTAAAATTTACCCGAATGTTTTAAAAAAATTTAATCATTTTTTCTTTGATTTATTTCAACAAAACTGTAAATTGAAGACATAAAAAATAAAAACATAATTTTACAAAAAAAATTTATAAAACAATCAAATATAGTCGTAGACTAAATGTAAAATTTTGAATTTGTTTATAAATCTAATAACAATAAAAATAAATTGACATTTTGCATGTATTTCATTATTAGCAAGTTATCAATGTTCATCTAAATATTTTAAATGAAGTAATTAATTTTGAATTTATTATATTATTAACTAAACTTTTAATTTACTGATTTTTTTGATACTGAAGTATCCCTCAACTATTGAATTAATATAATTTTTATATATATAAATTTATATCGTTGACTATATTGTATTATCATCTATCATGTTTGAATGTGAAATTATGTGCCCATCAAAGATTATTCATAAAATTTTTGACATTTTGCATGTATTTCATTATTAGCAAGTTATCAATGTTTTTTATTTTATTTACATACTAACCGATTTCTTCAAAAAGTTGAATATTTAAATTTTGTATTGTATTTTACGAAATCATAAAACAAAATATAATGTGTGTATAAGTATAACTATAAGAATAATAACACATTTGTATTTTTTGTATGTTTAAATCCGAATGATTTTGGACGCCAGACGCACTCAAGGCACGTGCATAACCTGAACGGCATTGACTATGTGCGCAAAACTCACGTATAAAATAATATTATATTGACAAACGCATTTTAAAGCAGAACTTATACATATATATATATAGTTTATACAGACTGGTTTTGCCATTGCCGCCGCCGGTGTGAGTGAACGACCTCTGAAGGTCTTTATCCTGCATTCTTTGACCTAGAAAACCGGCCTACCATTAATACCTCGGCGGAATAATATGTGTGTTTTTTCCTACCTCGTCTGTCTGTCGGCGACGACGAGCCGGACATACTTTCGCCAATCGTATAATATCACATGTACCTTTCCCCGGACAAAAAAAAAAAAAGTAAATAAAAAGTTATATTGCATTCCGCAGTCGCTACATATCCGTCACATCGGCCGTTATGTTATTTTATACATATCATATACAATAATAAATTATGCCTTACAGCAGTGGTTGTACCTACTCCACAAATTGATGTGGCTGTACTTTTATCCCCCCCTCACAAAAAAAAAGAACTGCCCAATCCTATAAAAATATTATTCACGCCGGACTTCCGATCAAAAAACCACACAAGTAGTACTGTTAAAAACGTTTCGCTGAATATGTTCCATTTGCCCATATCATATTATTGTACTATCCGCCATCGCCTACGCCTTGAAAACTAGTTTTATTGAGTCCTAGACTGAATATGTTATTATGTATAGCATTGCCCAAAGTGTTCTGAATAACCACTGTTACATCATCGGCGCATTAGAATATACCTACTCTGAATATTATGTGACTATTACTATATTGTTAGGTATATCCGCAACGATATAATACTCACAGGGCACCATGTATACATTGTTAATTCAATTTTATTTAAAAACAAAATTAGTTTTAAACTCTTAAGACTTACTGTCTGCATTAAAAAAAATATATATCAAAGGGTCAAGCCAAGAAAAGTTGAACTTAATTAGTAACTAAAAAGTTATTGCTCGTCTGGTTTCTTGAGTTATTTCTGAGGTTTCTTAAACAGGTATCGTTAACACTTAAAACTTATAACGGATTGTTAATAATTTAACATGTTTTTTTACTATTTGTTGACATAAAATCCAGTATTCATAAAGTTTCTAATCACACTTTAACAGTCACCTAAATAACTTGATGCAAATATATAACGTTCTTTTTAAAGTCATTCATAAGAACTGGTGCTGTGTATTTTTTTAATGTGATTTTATTATTATAATATCTTTTCCATTTATTTATATCGAGAGCAATAGGTAATGACTAATGACTAAAGACTAATAAGAAATGACAACAATGTAATCGCTTAAATTTATTTATTGCTAGTTAACAATAATGGTGTAACAACGCCAGTGTTGTCAAAAAAAAGTACCACCTATATTTTTATTTAAAGTGTTATACAATATTTGGTTGGTTCAAAAATTGCATTCTAGAATGTCTAAAAAATAAATAATAAATACAAGTGATATATATAATTTACAAACATAGTTAGTAAACAAAGCTAGAAATATGGTCAGTACCTAAATTTAATGTAAATGATAATATATTAATTAAAAATAGTTCATGATACAAACTATATAAATAATTAGTTAAATTTACTAATAAAGAATATCAGTACATTCCACAAAAACAAATAACACAATGGACTCAGAGTTGAATCACCAATATTTTAATCGTACACGATAATATAGGGTCTATTTTAGTTGTAGTCAAGTTAAAATGTTTATAGTTTTCTAATAAATACTTCGAACCACAATAGCTTTTTTCTCGAATTTTAATTTTATACCACTTTGGAGTCTGTTTATTCTGGAACCGCACATGAAAATACCTTCTCGAGCTACTCATCGAAACTAAAAAATTTAATGCAAATTTTAAGCCATAATTATATGATAATATTATTATAGAAGTTATTTGAATATTAGTCCTCGTTGACCACCCAATCAGAATAATTCTATGTTTCGGCTCTTAATAATCCGACTAGTTTGTCAACTTTTATACCGTTTCCTTAACGAGTCATATAAAATGACTTCAGAAATTATAATAGTTATTATTTGCACAAGTTGTTTTCACGAATACCACATTTGTAATTTAGTATTATATTCTCCTCCGTGTACGGACAAGACAAAATAGTAAAACCACTATAATTATAAATAATTAAAGATTTTCGGCGTTAAAACGATTATTACTATATATTTTATAAACGTTATACCGTAGGCGATCAAGACAAAACATTTGTTTTACATATTTAATTATAGTCTCGCCATTACAATTACATGCTACGCCGTTAGGCATCTTTATACTATTTCTATCATGTAATTTACAAATCACAGTAGATACTTCATTGTATGCTTTAAAAGTATGTATTATGGAAATATACGATAAGTCGGTCATAATCAATTATATCAATAAACTACGTTGACTTGTAAAATTATGCGAACTTGTTGCGTTGTTATTTATTTATTTTTGAGCTTATTGTAAACCCAGTTGTGACGTTTATCAAACGCACATTGACATTAAACCGCGATGGAGCACAACATAAGATAGCTAATAATAACTAGTAACGTGCTTCGGTAACCGATAAGTTCCGCTTAAAACCTACAGGTCACATAGTACACAATTCAAGTGTACTTAATAAACATAATTTGATTCGGCGTTTCAAGATCTTAACTGAACTTTCACTGGAAAGGTCCATCGTCAGTTGAATTAAAACAACGCTATAATTTTTGTTACCGAATAAGGTCGCAAATTGCTCTACCCCGTCGTCAGGTTATTGTACTACTGGAATTTCGAAAGTCTTGGCTTAAGAGGTTGTTTCCCCAGCATGTACTTATTTTTTCCACATTAGAACAATTGCATGTCATAGAAACTTGCGCTGGCAGCACTATAGTTTCCATAAGTCGTTTTATAAATTTTAGACGCACCCTTTGAATACACTTTATTAAAATATGTAATCTATTGTACATTGAGCGGTTGGAAATCTGCTGAATTTATAATGCCCTTGACCAATGCGGATAATAGGTATATGATAATTTAAAACAGCTGCTATTATTGTTATTTTAAAGTCGAGTGAAATTGGCAATCGTCCGACGACCTCTTGCGAACAAGATATTACTATAGTGACGTTAGATATTAAGATTTATTATCGCCAAAGTCTTGTTTTAATTTCACTCGGGCTAATTAAAAAGTATAAAAAATTATTATTGCCATGCAAAATTTGTGCCAATATTTATAAATTATATAATGTTGTCGCTATATTATTGTAATTTATAAAATAGTTAATGTATTACTATAATAGCTTGATAAGACGTACAGTATACAATATTCAGTCGAGTATTTCATGCTTTTATCATTAACAGACCACGGGGCGAAAAAACATTAAAAAATTGGCTCTACATGGATAAATACGTTTTTTAGCAACAGTATAGTGGATTATTACCTACAATAAATTCTGAACTTATATAATTAGTATCAACTATGGTTTCATTTGTCTGATAGGTATCCGACTTGATGGTTTTTATTTGTATTTTTAAAAGCTATGGCACAACGGCAATTGTTCTTTGTATTTCGTATGTATCAAATAAATATTTTAAAGAGAAAAAAACTATAGTACTATGATCGATGAGTAGTTATTAGTAGTAACTCGTAAAATAAAAAGACATTTCTTAAATAATATTTTTTATAATATTATAAATATTTAAGCAATTTATAACATGTTATTATTACCTTTAAGTAGAACGGATAGTTTTAAGTATGGTGTGTTATTTTACTAACAAATGTGCATACTGTAACGTACCTATTTGTAATTATTATTATACTCATGAGGTAGAGGCCGTTTAAAAAATGAGTCAAAAATCTGCTTTCAATAATAATATGTACCTATTGTTAGTGCACATTGCCAATGAAAAAGAACATAAGTTGCACAATTCCGAAAAAAAACACTTATTAAAATTATTTTTTGTTATTTTGTTACCACAATACATTTCCTCTATAAAACAACCACAACCATAATTGCTCATTTTACTCACACATTTTTTTTGTAACGTTTGCTTACAGCGTTGATTCCCTGTAATTCAGTAGGTAAATAATGGAAGTTTTAATGACTTAATGTGAATTCAATCTATTTAAAATATTACTTCAGTACATCTAGCTTAGCTTACTTCTTATTTCTTCTATTTGCCATTTGTTTCTTGTCCCTCTTTTTTAATATTTCGGTACAATATGTCATTTTTTTTGCTAATTTAAGTAGGTAAACTTTTTATTAACGTTTCCAATCCATTACCATAATTTTGCACGTGCGCTAAATTTTTAAAGTACGTAGTTATTATTTTTAAATAGTACATTTTATTATTTTACAAAAAAAAAAAACAGTGGGCCATTTTGTTTATGTAATTATTCTGTTTATATTGTAAATCATTTTGAAAATATGGTAGATGTAAATAGTTATATAATAAATTAACACACCATTTTATACAATAGCACATGTTGCATTAGGTATGTAAACTATTAAACTTGTGTAGCTGTGTAAAATTAACACGCGTTAACAATAAAAAGAATAACTACCTACACACAATTAAGAATTTGTTAAAAAAAAAAAAAAATGTACTATAAATAAAAACCGAAGGCAAAAATTATATCTAGTACGAAAATTTCTTGTTTTACATCATAAGTAGGTACATACAATATAATTATTTATTTAACATACATATAAAATGGTGGCTATTAAAATAAAAATGTTTGTGACGTTGTATGTGGCAATAAATATTCTGCAAGTAAGTTTTGTTAAGATTTGTAGAAAGTCCTTTGCTTATTGTGTAATGTTATTATTTATTTATTATTTAAGTATTTGACGACTCGTTATCGTTATAGAAAACATTTTTTAGCTGTGTTAATTTATTTTTAGTTTTAAAATTTGTAAATATTTGTATTTAGAAACCATCATCTCATGATGGCATCGTTGGGCCCGTTAAGCTTGATGACAATGATGAAATATTTGTATTTTAAGGAATTAACCAACTTTTAAACATAAATCCAATTATATACCTAATACCAATTAAATGTAAATTTGTAAACTTAACTTGATTATGTGTTTTAGGTATTCAATGGAGTATTGGCTGCGCCTCAGCAAGGGGTAAACCATTTATTTATTATAACACCTATAACTAATATATTATAAACAGATTAAGTAGCAAAGATGAAAATTGCTTTATTACCAAAAAAAATGCTACGGAAAAGTTTTATGTTAAATTATGACTTTCGTCGATGCTTTAATTTGCTAATAGCGAAGCTCTTACAATCTAAATTAAATAGAATTATACTAATTTAATATTATCAATTAAAATATTGACTTAACTTAAATCGTGTATAGGTCCTATTCTACACATGTAATATATTTCAACTGCTAAGTGGTTATTATCAAGAATAATCGTAAAACGCAGTTATTCATAATTCCATAATTCATAATTAGCTATGTATTACCAGAAGAGTGTAATAAGATCATATATCATTGTAGGTGGTAACAGCTTTGTAGTTAATAACTATAGTCATATATCTTATGAACATGTTAAGGGCATTGTGTTCTTAATGAAAGGTTATACTATCAAGTAACAAGTCAATATAATGTGTGAAGCTATTACTTTTCTCCTTCGGCTCAACAACACTTCAAGAGCTTTTTCCATCATGCCTTGCACTCTTTTCTTCTAACCCTAGCGTGTTAGGTCTCGTTTACGCCCCATTATTTCGCTTCTTCACGGTCTTCTTTTGATCTCTTTCCAACTGGGTTTTCACTCCAATATAGGCACTTCTTATAGGCTTGATATTTAGGTGCGTTAAGTGACTATACAGTTATAGGAAAGCACAACATACCTAATTATACAAATTGTCGTACGCGCCTGCGTCAACATAAGTAAACATGAGTAACGAGTTTTGATTTTTGCGCAGTATCGTTTTCTCGTGAGACAAGATAACTTAACGCAATTTGATTTTATTTACAGAATAATTATCCATCGTTTCCGGCTCAACCGGCTGTTGTTGGACTAGCAAATGGATCGGCCGGCGGATCACCTTATGGATCGTTCGGTGGATCACCTAATGGATTTATCGGCGGATCAGCTAATGGACCGGTCGGTGGATCACCTTATGGATCAGCCGGCGGATTACCTAATGGATCGATCGGCGGATCAGCTAATAGACCGGTCGGTGGATCACCTAATGGATTGATCGGCGGATCAGCTAATGGACCGGTCGGTGGATCACCTTATGGATCAGCCGGCGGATTACCTAATGGATTGATCGGCGGATCATTTGGGGAATCAGCTAATGGACCGGTCGGTGGATTAGCCGGAGTGCCGGGCGCAAATGGCCAACAATCGTCGATCCCGTGGGAGATGATCAACCAGGCCAGGCAAAATTTTAAGGATACGTTAATGGCCACTGGAGTAGGCAGAATGGTGGACGTCATAGATACGGCAAACTTGGCCACGAAATTCGTTGACAATAGGATGGGAGACTTCACGGATATAGTGCACAACACTTTTTCAATGGCCGACAGACTGGCCAAGAGAAAAGCGCAGTACGTGGCCAACATGATCGAAATGGCCGGTGGTAGTTTTGGAGGTCTCATAAGTGGCGCGCAGTCAATTGGAGGAGCTGGGGCTGGAGCCGTTCAAGGGGTTTACGATGGAGCTGTGGGAACTACCGCTAACATCGTAAGAGCTGGTGGGCGTGTAGCAGCGTTACCCTTGAAAATGGCAAAAGGCGTGACGGGTATCATCGGTGGAGAGCGCAGTCAGCCAACCAATAACCCAATTACCAGCAGAAAATTGATATCTGCATATTGAGTAAAATGATCTAACTGTTAAATCTTGTGTCAGATTATCAAATCGCAATTATGTATTCGTTAACTTAAAAAAGTGTTTTCAATTAAAACCATTATTGAACGATACTATTATTTGTTTACCGCGTATTAGCTTTTTTACAATAAAGAGTACAAAAAATATAGACTATAAATCACCTTTTTTTAGAATAGACATTTCACGGTATGTTTTCATAGATTATTTACATATTAAAAAAAAAAAGAAAGGATACTCTTCATAATATATTATTATACATTGATGTACGTGTACCTATTCTATTTAGAATAATAACAAATTATAATATTAGGTTAAAGACTTAAGAAACATCCAAGAGTGTCGATACGACTTTACTAAAATTCAATAATGATCGAATTGTTTGCCAATGAAAATAATTTATTTTGCTGGAAAAATTACTATCATCAAATCACTATTAAACTCGGTTTACACTACACAATAAGTTTATATATTTTATACATAATATAGTCGAACGTGATTGACTTATCCGAATAAATTGCTGTTCAGAAGTCTGAGTCGTCACTATAATCAAATTGCTTGTTAACAAAAGTTATTTACTCGAATTTAAAAAACCAATAACATCTCCATTTATTTTTAGCTGTTTTAAATATTACGTAATATGCTGTAAATTAAAGGTAAAATCGTAATACCTATACTTCATACTTGATCATAGGTGAAATTTAAAACATTATACAATAGGTCTCATCCATAAGTTAGTTCATAATAATTACACATCATTTCATAGGTATTACAAAAGTAGACTATAGTCATTAAAATATACTATTATAATATTTTAAACTTTTTATTACCTATTAAGACACATTCAGAGTTGTGACATTCTCTCGTAAAAAGCAGATATTAGTGTAGTAAAAAAAAGTAAATATTTCCGAATAACGATGGCATTCTGACGTGATAAATCCTACTTTAAGGTCAATGTTATCGAGGGACAAGTATAGGTACCAGACAAGCTGACATTTTTTAAAATATGAAAAAAATAATTTCCATAAAATACATTTATAAATGTGCTTGTGAGAAAACTCCCTAAAAATACATTAATCATTTGAAGGTATAGTTTTATTGCTTTTTCTTTTGGTGATGTTTCTCTCACTTGAAAAGGATTGCTGGGCCACGTATTTGCAACCGTGCAATATATTTTACTAAACATAATTTTAATCACTCTTGTAAACTTGTTATTTTGGTAAGTAGTTCTTGTTAGTAGGTAAGTACTGATATTCTTTTATCGTTGTTGATGTAAACCATGTACATAATCATTATTTAGGAAATTTCTCACTAAAAATATTTGCATTTTATCTTGAAAGCTCTTACAAAAGTAGTACTAAGTACTTGATTTATTTAAATTTAACAATTTTTAAATAGTATTGATCAACAAAAATCTAGACTTTTTACCCTAGATATGGTGAATACTCTAAATTTGAATGTTTATAATGGTTGCAACAAGTTCGTCCAAACACTATTTTCATTCTAGGAACTTATGAATAGGCCGATTAGTTTGTGTAAAGTTAACATAAAAAACACAAAAATTATATTACCGTAAAAATAAATAATAATTTTTAAAATTTCTGATTAAGTTTGTTTTCATTATGCATACGTATAGATGGCCATGTACCAGAGTGATCTAAATTTCTGCAGCCAAAACTAGGTTTTTTAAAAACGAAACTTAATATGCTTAGGTTATAACTTGTAAAAAAAAATTCTACTTTATAAATTATAATTTTCTGTTTTACAAATATTGTAAATAGTGGGTTTTGTCATCAATTATGTAAATGTGAAATCCCCCTGTGAATTAAGTTAATATATTCGCGGTTTAGTAAAACACATTTTTTTAATAATAAAAAAGAGCTCATATTATTATCACATATAGACACTATACCATGTAAATAATTATCAGAAAATTACTCTAATAGTCACAGGTATAAAACGAAAACAATGGTTAAAGTGACGGCGTGCAATAATTACTTTAGACACAAATTAGTTTTATTATTTTTAATTTTTATCGACTTACTTTTTACACTTATATAATACTTACAACCAACAATTTTAAAACACACCTACTATGTTTTTTTAAACATAGTAGGTAATGTTTAGTGTTATGACAATCCAGTACCCGACAACAAGGTGGTCTCTTGGAGATTTCAATTGTACATAAAACAAATAAAAAAAATGCGCACAAAAACTTCATTACTATGTATAACAGTCATACTGCAGGTATTATATTATTATTTAAGTATGTATTGCTTTCGTTTAGTAAGTACCTATAAATATTTTTGATATAAATTTTAAAACTGCGCCGATTAACCGATTATTAGATATTAAAATCCTTGTTTTAACCCTTCAAAATAACAACTAGGTATTCGAAAAGTAAAGAGTTTTTAAAATTAAATATTGTTTCTCATGCTATATTGAGTATTTAATTCAGAATTAATAGAATAGTTTTTTTCGAAAATTTGTTTCATCTCATTGAAAATTTATCTATTAATGTGTAAGCCATAAGAGTACCTACTGTTTTTTTAACCTATATTATGACCTATCCCGTATTGTCTTTAAACCAAGGATATTTTTCGTTTGAAAACAAGCTTATGTAAACAACCGTATTTAAGAAAATTGGCATCTAATGATAGATAGTATGATTTTTCATGTAACCAAAAAAGGTTTCATAAAAAAGTACGGTTACTCCTTGGACCACAATATCATCAGTATACGCCAGGATTGAAATTTTTCTTCCAGTGAATCCCTCAAAAATGTCCTACTAGACCTACAGTCACTTTACTTGACCTATAGAGTTTTAAAAAATTTTTTTTGATTTTTTTTAATGGTATCCCAAAGGGTTTGGTCCTTCAATCGGCGTGTCGGGTATTCAATAGCGGCACAACACCCAGAATGGACTTAATGTCCGAAGAAACCACGATAGCTTCTACAGAGTCTAGTGGCAGTACAGCTGAAGAGACCGGTTCATCATTTTTGACTTCAAGGGATATAACACCGTCCTACTCGGTTTCCAGAGCCATCGCCACTAGAGAAATACCGGCCAGACAGTCGGTCACAGAATCGTCTCAGCAGTTAAAGCAGGCTGTACAAGACGCGGCCAAGGGAGGTGTAGTGGACGTGATTACCACAGCAACAGCAATCACAAACATCTCAAGCTCGTTGTCCAAGTCGTTTGTGGATCTGGTACACGAGGAGATGGCCAACATCGAAACGGTTTGTAAGAGAAAAATTAAATTGGTTTCAGATGCGTTGAACACGGCAACAGCCGCAAAAATAGCCCTGATGGACGGCATAACAGACTTGGGCTCTTGGAGCGTGATCACTGGCAAAAACGTAGCTTTGAACGTCGGCAGTGGTATCGTCACAGCCTCCAAAGGTATCGCCAATGTCCCTGGCAAAATAAGCAGCTATCTACGCGGATCATAATCAAATTGAAATTTTAGTAGATCAATAATTGGAGTAGGTTTCTACTTCTTCTTGTAAATTGTTTCACTTAACCATGTAGTCGAATAAAGTATTTTGTAGCGTGTATTGTAATATTTTAACAAATCTTTCTTGGAAAAATAAATTTAAGTAACAAAACCATGATTGTTACTTAGTGTGTTGATAAGATGTAGTTGTATTTTCAAAAAAAAATATTGCACAATAATTATTGAAAAATATTGCTTACAATTAGTACTTTTTGTAAAAATGAAATTTTTGATCATTTAATGTTAGATCTAAATTCTGTAAAATAGTATAAAATTATACATATGTTTTACTTAATACTAGAATAGTAGTGATGTAGAAAAATATATGAGATCGTTAATAATAATAATAAAAAAAAAATTAATCATCGAGAACGTAAACAATGTCTCGCTTTGTCGAAAATTTCTTTTTTTAATTTAATTTGTTCTGGATTAGTAGTGTTTAAATCGAAACACAGTTCGACAGATTTAGTGTACTGTTTGTTTTTGTATAATACCACTGCCAACTTGTACCCAATTTTAAAGTCCTTTTGCCCACACAGTGCCCACGCTCTTTTGTAATGACTGACTGCATCGTCTAAAAATACAAAAACCAAATTAAAAACATACACAATAGTAAATTCGAGAAAACAAAAATATTGTACCATATTTTTGTTCTTTTTCGGCGATAGCACTCATAAGCGTTAAACCTTTTACTGAAGACTTATTGTAGACTAACACTTTTTTAATTAGTTCAACAGAAATATCGGTTTTGCCAGACTGAAAGTACAATTCGGCCAAAAGTAACCAACTACGTTCCAAGTAATCGGCTTCTTCAAACTGCCATGTCGACTTTGCCACTCTTTTCAAAACGTTACGGGCTCTTTGCACCTGTTTTTGATAAACAAACGCTATAGCCATGCCCAATGTCGCAGCAATCCTATAAAAAACAAAACATGTCATACAGTAGTTTCTAAGATATATGAATTGATTATTATTCATAGTTATGAGAAACGTATTCATAAAAATTACTTGTAAGACTCCTGCGACATTTCAGTAAATAAATTCATTGCCTTTTCAACAGACTGTTTGTCTTTGGACAATAACAATATAAAAGTGGATAATAACTTTAAATTGTTCTGTTCCTCCGGTGTATTAGGTTTCATATCCTGGGAGTGATATAGTATCATTAATATAATATATAATATACGAGGCGCACAGCGTCAAAGAATCTAAACCCTCAAAAAATAGAATTTTATTTTATTACGTTAAATATTTTAGAATACAATGTCTTAAAGCCAAACCTAAAAAAAAAAAAAATTTATCTACTAAATGGTAAAATTTAATTTTTTTGGAATTGCCATTTAAAAAATTATACTTGTTTTTTTTTTTGTAATAATTGATTGTCAGTTAAGCTTTTTAAGCGCTATGCACCTTATATAGTAGAGCTTCAAAATTAAGATCTGCCTTATTTTTGTTTATTCATTTTAAACTAATTTAGGGGCATCCCCGTTGAAATTTCTCCAAATCCAAAATAAGAACCACTTTTAATATAAATTAATTTTAGTTTACCTCTATTAGTTTGCTTGCTAGGCTTAAGTTCAAAGTTGCTTCATCCAGACAAATAAGCACCATATTGTGCAATGATTGTTGTCCCCATTCAACATCGTTTTTGGCCAAATTAAAATGTTCCATCGCGTCGTTAATGATTGCCGTGTACCAACAATAGAGGCCAAAACAATAATGGAAACCTGCCTGGTTGTTGTGCTTATAAGTAACCGTCATAGTAGTTTTTAGTTCTTCTAGAGAATCCATTCTCCGACCAACCTCTACCAGACGGGCTAAAGCCGCCCAGTTGGTAGGATGTTTTTCCAGAAGCTTGCAGAAATGTTTTTTGGCCGTAATAAAATCACAGCGTCGAAACGATAGGTCTGCTATTATCAAAAGTGCTAAATCATTGTTTTTGTCTTTAAGCAACGACGAGCATATAATTTCACAGGAAGTCCAATCGTTTACCTGGTAATAACAACAACAAATAACAATACATAGTGAGTAGTCATAAAAATGTAATATCATTATAATATTTTAACAAGTAACAGTAATGGGAAAGACAAAGATGTGTTTGATGAACAGGCAAAATTTTAGAGAGCAATAATAATTCTGTTATATAATTTAAAACAAATTAAACACAGTGTTAAAATTACATTTAAGAACACACATAGATATTTCCTATTAGGCAGTATGTACTATTTTATAAGAATTATAGAAGTTTTATTGTGTTTTTAATTTTTCAAAAGTCTTCAAGAAATATTATAAGTTATAACAAATATATGCTTCAATGTGAAACTGTAAGAATAAAAACTATCTAATACAAAAATAAATTTTTGCAAAATACAAAAGTCAACAGGTTTTAGAAGTTAACAAAAAATGTTAACATGTGTTTTTTATTATCATTTTATGTTAATAACAATCTACTGAAAATTTTGACTGGTCGATTATTATAAGTATATAATATTTTAAGAAAACCTACAATATTACAATTATTTTTTAAATTAAATTTATAACCCTGCATATAAGACAAAAAAATGAAATGCCAACAAAAACCACAATAGGTATTTGTAATTTAAAAAACACATCATTGTAAATACAATACCTTTTCCGCTTTGTATTGAAGCTTAAATATACACTTTCCTAAAAATAATGATATATTGTTTTATTTAAAGCTGTTAAATTTTTTTTTGCTGACATCATAGTAAAATATGGTCACGTGCGTGACATTAGTTGTGAAAATATAATAATAAAAATGGTTAAGAACAATACAAGTTATGTTAGGTTTTATTTGTATAAAATGGGAACACAAAAATTTAGCTTTACCAAAAAAAAACTTTATTTACTTATTAAAAAGCTTTTTGTTGGGCTAAATACATATTATATACAATACCTACATAGATACGTATCGGAGTAGAAAAACACTAAACTAATTAAGTCAATTTCAGAATTATTGAAATAACTCACTTCCATGTATAAGTTGGCCAACTTTATCTTAATTTCGTTAGCTTCATCACTGTCCACTTCAACCGGAACAAGTGCTTGTTTGTATAATCCAATAGCCAAATCGTGTTTACCTAATTTTTGTGCTATTTCACCACTACGTCTTAAAATATTCAATCGCGTAGTTGTGTTTTGGTTTTCCAAGTAGGAACATTGTTTAAGCATGTCCAATGTTTCTTCTAAATTTCCTTTTTTTTCCAAAGCCTATTAGGAACAAAAAAAAACAAAAAATGTAAACATTAGATGTTATTGTCATTTTTTTTTTTTTGAATAATGTCTTACATACGACATTGGCATAACTTTCACTTCCAACGGAAGCGGCCCCAGAACTTTTATTGCCATATCACACTGATTCAATTTGATTAATAGATTTGCCAATTCAATTGCACCATCTTTACCTGTTATGCAAAAAAATAGAAACTTTTAGATTGTTCTTTAAGTTGAGTATAGTAAATGTACCAGATTTGTTGTAATAATTTATTGCTTCTGTGTACCGATGAGCTGCAACTAGTACTTTAGCTACTTTTAAACAAACAGATGGGTTGTTTTTTAAGGTTAATGCGTTTTTGATGACTTTAACAGCTTCATCTGGTTCCTAAGGGTTAAATGGATAACTTATTAGTGAAATTTTAAAATAATTAAAATAAACTAATAAAAAAATATATTAAAACACAACCTGAATTTTTAAATATGCATCTGCCATATTAATCATGTTCTGTATGGTGGGATGTGAATCGACTAACTTCTTGTAACACTCTGCATACTCAACTGGATCTAGATTGCTCTTTAAATAAATATCAGCTTTTATTTCCTGAGCCTAGAAATCAATTAAATAATATTTATTTGTATAATTATAAAATTTCAAGTTATTTTATTAAAACATACTTTAATATATGTGTGTTGATCAGGACTAATACCATTCAAAATCGCTAGCGCACTGCTAGTATTGTTTTTGTATAATGCGATATTAGCTTCGGCTAATTTTAAGTCTTTTTCATATTCGGTGCCTTTTAGTATTAAACTATTGTAAGCACTTTGTAAGGTTGTGTTTGCATTGTCGATTTTTTCACTTATACAATAACTTTGAATCAAAGAAATATATAACGTGGTTAAATCTCGTGCACTAAGAGTAGGTTCGTCTAAAATTTAAATTCATGAGAAATTTGTCATTATTTTTATTTTCTAGAATGTTTGAAAAAATTACATACTTGTTAAATGTTTTAATGCATTTTCAAAAGCTCGAATACACTCTTCATGTCGTTTGTAATGTTCGTGTATTAATCCGTTAAGCATATGGTATAAAGGCAATTCGCCGATTGAAAGGTTGTAACTGAGACCCGAGTCTAAGCTTTTAGCGGCGTTTGAAAAATCACCCTAAATAATAAACACAATATGTTAACTATTTTTGACTAGTAGAAATATAAAATATTACTTCTCGTATCATGAGGTTGGCTATCATAAGGTGTGCATCAATATTAGTAGAATCCATTTCCAAGACTTTTTCTAGAGATTGATATGCTTTGCTTGTGTTTTGCACGCTAGCCAACATTATCCAACAATCAATAAGACCAGGACACATTTTTAACAGTTTATCCAAAGTCGTTTCTTTATAACTATTATCGGATATATATTTAAGGAAAAACAAAATCATGGCCGGATTGAGTTTGGTCAAATATTCTAGACCATACGGTAAGTTTTCAACAGAATTAAATAACTTGTCGATCGCCAATTTGATTAAATTTGTTTTTAAATTTACATCACTCGTACACAAAGCGTTCATAAAAATCAGCTCGTTAGATTTCAATTCTCCCCCGATTTCGTTTAATAAACTAATTTTTTCTTCAACCTATCAACATTATAAAAAAACAACAAAATATATACTACTTCACTATTATACAATTTGTATACACTTAAATTTTTTAAAACAACATTTACTTGTGTAGACATTTCATTCATTGCGATTTGACATAGAATTATTCCTTCAATAGCTTTTGGACGTGATTCGTCGTCATTTGAGAGTTCGTTATATAGCCTGATGGCTTCGCTATGCTGTCCAGATAATAGTGTCTGATACGCTAATTCTAATTTGTTACTAACGCTTGGATCCATATTAGTAGCAATTTGTGTAGCACGAATGCACTCATTAACAATTCCACAGTGTTGACAGCAAATACGAACTAATGTAGAAGACCACTGTATAAAAATATGGGCACACGGTTCTGAATTTTCTACAATTTCAAAAAACCGATCTGGTATTTCATCATATTTTCCATTTACGACTATGCTGTGCATAATTTGAGTCTATAATTAAAAAAATTAAAGCTGTTAACAATACAAATATTTGTAAAAGTAGATTGACATCAATGTCTCCAATGATGATTTACCACTGTTTTATACTAACCATTAAAGCAACTGAACAATTTGGTTGTATAACTATAATACGGTCAATTGTTTCTAGAACTTGAGGCCAGTCTTGAATTCTCATACACATATTCAATTTTTCAATAAGCGGCGGTAGAAAGTTTGGTAATTTAACAATAATTTGATTCAACATATAAATCGCATCATCTGATTCAACTGTTGCGACTTCTCCAAGGTATGCGTCAACAGCATCGTTGTTCTAATAACAAAAACATTGATATCACGTAATTATTTTTTACTCAAAAGAAAGGCATGAAAAGTAAATATTACCTGAGACAAAACCGCTCTGAAGCAACTTCTGGAACTTTTAAGATTATTATTTTTCAGCTCTAACCATCCTTTAACCAAAAAACCATGAACTGAACTGGGAAAATCAGACAGAATACGATCAACGTATAACTTGGCTTCCTCCAAATTTTCACAAAGAATACAAACGTATGCTGCGTGAAATAATACGTCTTCGGCAAGATTGTAATCTTCAGTAGCGAGTTCTAGATTTTTTATAGCATTAATATCAGGGAACTAATTTTTGTAACATAAACAAACATTTAATTTTAGTAGAGATTGTTATTATTATATGACGAAATTCTAAATATTACCTCAAACTGTTTGTGTGCAAATATCATAGACAAAACAGAAGCTAATCCAAGTAAATCATTATTTGTTAGAGAATCCAGTATTGACAATCCCTTCGACATATTCTTTTGAAGAATTAATGAAACTCCATAATATAATTTGTAAACTGACCCTTTATTGCTGTCTAGAGCACTAGATGCTGCAATTTGAGCACTATAGTAAAACTTATTTCTTAGGTAATATTGAATAAGTTCAAATTCCATGATTGTTGTTTAGATGGTATCCGTAAATGATTTATATTAGATTATAAAAAAATTTTCATAATTCATTTGAAATTCAAATACACTTTCCACTACCATGTAATATCTTCAGTATACTCAAACGGACTTGTATCTATAGTAGGTAATTCCTCTAAAATGTCATTCAATTGGGGGCTAGGGTGTTCTATAACATATTTTATCAAAAAAGGACAATATAGTGCTACATTGATTTTGCGCTTCCACAAATAATCAAAGACTTCCTAAAAAAAAAAAAAAAGATTAACAATTCAACAATTAATTAGTATAATACTAAAAGAGGAATTAAAAACAATATCCAAAGAATATTTTTAAACAGAGTTGGGCATTATAAAACTTTTTTTTTATTTAGATGAAGTAATAAAAAAAAAGTTCTTTATAATTCATCATTACTTATTCGATTATTAATATTAAAGTTATTTGTGTATGGTTATTTTACTTAAAATTATTCATTAATTCAATAATTTATTTTTTGATAAAAAAAGATACTTATTATTTACAAATTAATTAATTTACATAATATTTATTATTTGTTTGAATGTTTAATTATTTTAAAAAACTTTTTTTAAATTCTATAACTCTTTTGCAAAATATAATTCAAAGTAGAGTTTGTGTAAATATAAAGCTGGATCAAAATCGAATCCAACGCTTCAACCTTGAGACCATGATTTAATTTTTTTGAGTTAAAGAAGTGATTTTCAATACATTTATAAATAATAAATAAACAGATTATCTATTATTTGTCAAGCTACTTATAATTTTATGATTGAATTTTTGTCAAAAAAAAAAAAAGATTTATTATTTAATTTACATTTTTCCCAACATTTTTTTCAACTTCCTAGATACAGTCCAAAACTTTACATTAATATGTTAATTTTATTAGTAAGAAATTAGTTTTGTAAGAAGGTGAGATCTACAGTTAGGTGTTTGGCAAAAGGCTCGGGGTACAGTTTGTGCCATTTGACACAAGTAATAAATGCCATAAACCGGATTGGTAAGCCATACCATTCTCACTGCTAAAGAGTGCTGAGCCTCAAGCTTATTACCTAATGCAAATTTCCCAGCTATAGGAATCCGCTTTTAGTTTACACAATAAAATACCTAACTCAATGACTAAATTAAGGAATACAATAGAAACTGTTAATAACGACTAAACTCGGGGTTTAAGCTTATTACAGAACATAAAATTCTAGTAGCTTTAACGAATATGTCATATTAACCGATGTCGCTATAATCAATTTCTAGAGTAGTGTATAATTATCAATTAAAAAACAAATGAATAAAACACTAACTTTAGCAATAGAATGCCCAATCTTTTTTCCTCTAAGTGCAACTGGAACGTATGTGTGATGCAAGACTAATAAATCATCTACTTTTTTGTACTCAATTTTAGCAATACGGTTTCCTATAAAAAAGCAAATTATTATACAAGACTATTATTGATTATTATCAATTTTAATAAACAGAAAATTTCAGATGATTACAATTAAAGGAGTCAACAATACTAATTTTCAAGAACTCTTGTTCTTTTGATATTTAATTTTAATTTTAAGTACTAAAAATGATTATAAATAACAGTTGGTTTATAAATATGCAAATGACATATTTAAAATCAAACCAACGTTAAATCAGAAAAATATACTTAAATAAGAAGAGGATCACATGCATTTGAAGGGCTCTGGGGAAAAAAGATCAATGTCAATTTTCTTTCATTCTGAGAAAAACATGTTTTTAATTTCAAAACGTAATACATTTTGCCTGTATGCCTAAACTTTTGGCGGTCGTTATTCTTGACTAATCTGTTTTTTTCCCTGGTTCGAGCGCATAAAAGATACAATATGTCAATTCAAATTATTTGAAACCAAAATCTCATTTTCAAAAAAAATTGACATTGATCTTTTTTCCCCGCGGCCCTTTATTTATATAACTTATGTTTGGTCTTTAAATAAAATAATAAATACACCTTTTGACTTCTCTGAATAAACTTTTATATTATGCTAATGGTATTTATTTTATGCTTGATATTATTTTACTTGGTTTTTTATACTACAAATATATCAGGAAATTAAAATAAGAATATTGGTGTCCACGGTAACCAAAAATGTCAACAATGGATAATACAAAAAGAAAAAATCGAAATTACAATTACTATACACATAAATTGAATGGATAAATAAATGTAATAAAATATGAAAAATTTGAAAATATTAGGGACAAGAAACAGATAAAAATAATATATCTAGGAATTAGATAAACATATAATACTATAGTGAATAATTTACCTGGAACATGAGCAATGTGATAGACAAAACGATTACTTTTAATGTCATGCTCAAGAACGTTATTATTCCTCAGAGTAGCAGTACAAAACAACCTAAAGTGTACTAATCGATTTATGTTCATTTTACTAGGTGCAATCGAAAAGAAAAAAAAGTGCAAAATATTTTACTGACAATAAAAAAAACCATACCTATGCATTTGAATATTTCCTTAGGAACGACAACACTAAAAAGTAAACATCAGTTTAAAAACAAAACGTAACGATTATTATTTTTTTTTATTTCAATATCAGAAAATAACAATAAACTACGATAACGTTATCAACGAAGATGTTATCATAAAATAAATTCAAATATTCATCAATTTGTGTTGGAAAAATTAACTGTTTTTGAACTTAAAAATATTAGAATTATTTATTTTTTCCTAAACAAATTTACATAAGTTATAACATTGATTTTATTTTACGTAAATGATTCCTTGTTTTTGTAATAATTAAAAAAAAAAACATGTCGGTAGTACTTATAGATAGCGCAGTACGGGGCAGAGTTAAGGAAAGGGTAAAATAAGTCGTACGTCTGAATTTTTTTTTGCACCAATCCTATGTATTATCAAATTATAATTATTTAATCTCTATATAAACATTTTTTACTCGATTAACCTGTTTTCGTACTAAAATGACAAATGACAATGATTAATACTACCTATTAGATAGGCATTATACATTATTATGAAATAAGGTCGACTATCGAAGTCAATGAAATTCTTTAAATTTTGTCTTCAGTCTTCAATGAAGTGGTTTTATAGTGTTGTAGAAAGAATATAACATATAGGCACAATGTTCAATTTTTTAAAGTCGCCTAAGTTTATTTGTATTTTGTTTGTATACTTAAAAAATGTTCATGCTTGTCATGACCTAAATGCCAATTTTACCCATTATTTGTCATCGAAAACGCCTTATAGATATGTAGCAAACTATAATACAGATCCACTTGAATACGATGGTAAGTAGACACATAATTTCAATACCGCAATTTTAACATTATATTGTGTTATTAACTTGAAATCTTCTGAAGGTTGTAAAGCGTGGAAAATTTGGTTAGTCCAAAGACATGGTACGAGAACTCCAGGCAAGCCTTTGGATGTGTTTGTCAAGAACAGACTCCCACAAATTCAACAAGACATTGTGAATAGTCTAATTAAAGGTAAATCAAAAAAAATGTTATTGCGTTTTTTAGCGTTTTACTACCGGAAATGTATTGTAATTAGATGTATGTCTTACGGTTCAGGAGATTTATGTAATGAATATGAAATCAAATATTGGAAGCCACACAGAGAACTAGATGACCAAAAGAGGTTGACCACTGAAGGAGAAGATGAGCTTTTCGAAATAGCTGAAAGGTTTCAACAAAGGTTACCACATCTACTCGATCAACCCGTGGAGAATACAAATTTTTTGGTATAACATTTATTAATTAAAGTTATTGAAACTATTTAAGTTTTAATCTATATAGTTTAGGTTCACTGACACTCAAAGAACGGAACGGAGTGCTCTACAGTTTGCGACTGGTTTATTTGGTCGCGTTGAAGTAAAAAACATATCATTTCCAAAGCCTCTTGATAAGGACCCATTATTGAGAGTATGTAATTTTTATAACTTAATAAACATGTTAAACATTTTCACTAATATTTGTTTGTTCAAAGTTCTTCAATGTGAAATATTAATAAATATTTTTGTTTTTTTTATAGTTTTACAAAGTATGCCAAAAATGGAGAAAGAATGTTAAAAAATCTCCTGAAGCAACTATCGAGCATAAAAAATTCATCGAAAGTAGTATAGTAAATAAAACTCTTTCACATTTGTCAAAACGGCTTGGGCTTGACTACGTGTTGACTTTTAGTAAGATTTGTTTTTAATTATTTAGATATTTATGGTAATTTTTTTGGTTTTTTATTTTATATAGATGATGCCAAAAATATGTACTCGTACTGTGCTTTTGAAACCGCTTGGGAAAAAAATAAAATTTCACCATGGTGTTCAGTATTTAGTGAATCGGATTTTAAAGTAGTTTTTTAATTGTAAATGTTGTTACAATTATTTTATTGTTGTACATATATTTTTTTACAGGTTTTTGAGTACAGTGAAGATTTAAAACACTTTTTAATAGACGGTTATAACTATGAATTGACCTACAAACAATCTTGTGTTTTATTAAAAAATATGATTGAACATTTTGAGTATGTATTATTGATAAATGAATCAAGTCAATCAAGTGCATTATAATAATATAGAAATTGATTTAATTTTTTTTTCTGGAAGTGATGAAGACTTAAACAGTAACAATGGGATTTTCTATTTCACTCATTCCGGAACAATTTTAAAAATGCTTGGATTGTTGAGCTTATACAAGGATGACAATTTTTTGAGGCACGATAACTATTTGGAAATGGAAAATCGTCAGTGGAGGACATCAAAAATTGACGCGTTCGGATCGAATTTGGCTTTTGTCCTTTACAAGTAAGTAGTAATTTTCTTCACGTTGGACAAATAATACATTTCGAGTTACTCTTTATATTTATTTTTAGATGTAACAATGATGATATGAAAATAATTATGTTGCATCAAGAAAGAATTATAAAAATTCCTGGATGTGACGCAGAACTATGTTCTTATGAAAAATTTAAACTACATTACCAAGCAAAACTTAAAAACTGTGATTTTAATGAAATGTGTGGTATTCATAAGTAATCCAAAACGTCAAATTTAACTAATCGTTTTTATTTATGGTCGTTACCAGTTTTGTGTTCTATACTAGTGTGTTTTAATTAGCAATTTTTGTTATTGACAGTTACCATTGTATGGACAGCATCGCTATTCAGCTTATATTAATGTATTTTGATGCAACTAATGTACAATAATGTGAATTGTAATTTAATTTATGTTTTATGTATGTGTGTCAAATTTTTAACAAGGCAACTGTTTTATTCTTTATATATAAACTGAAATAAAAATTATTATTTTTATTATAAAAATACAAAAAGTTCTAATTTCTATGAGGAGGACATATGAGGAGTTAATTTGAATTAGTGCCATTGTAGAAGTTGTAGAAATATTTTTATTTGTTTGTTGTCAGTTGACTAATAAGGTTATGCAGTGATGATACACAGAACCATTGTGAGGGTTTATTTCATCCAAATAAAAACACGGTTGATGTTAACTTAACGTGTTTTTCGTATTTATGATATCATAATTAAAAAATTAGTTTGACGACATAAATTTAAATTATTCCATTTCGTATACTTCCATCATCGATTGTTGTTAAAAAACGTTTAAAGATGATTGACTATTAGTGATATTTCCTTTGCATGCCTAAATTTTACAGGGGCTATGTGTCTAGCACTTCCTTGCTGCATCCCTTACGTCCACACTAATAACATTTTAATTGTCTTGCAACCTACTGGTTTAACACAAACATGGGAGTATAAATATCTTAATAAATGTGAATACGTTTATATTATACCTATTACATCACTAACGTTTTAATGGGATGAGGCACATAATAATATTTAAGATATAGTAAAAGTTAAACACATAAAAGGGAGATAGAAAAAGTTAGTTGTAATTTAGTCTTTGGAAGGGCTCGCGTTTGCCCAAGCGTTGTAAATAATAGTTAAATTATACGTCGTTGATGAATCTTGACCGCGCAGCCTGTTATTTATCCCTTTGTAATTTCGGAAAGTTTTGAGCTGTGAACAACCTCTTTGCTGCGAGTTTCTACCCTTTAATTTGTAGTCTTTAATTGAACAATCTAAAATGGAGATGAGACAATGTGAACTGTATCAAGAAGACAGCGCTGTAATAGAGGCACGCCACATCTGTACATACATTTTTTTAAAAACTTATTTTATTTATGTGCAGGTCCAATAACATAAATATTACAAAACAAAAAAATGTAGTATTGTGAATAATGTTTAAAGTGATTTGAGTTCACGACCTAAACGAATACGAATACAATATTCGTTTTGTTTGTGAAAACTTGCTTCTAAGTATCCGAGTTTTTTATTAATCAACGGTTTTTATTGTAAATTGATTTCATGAAACACTTTATGACTCTTCGTTAGTACTTTATTGTAATTCAGACACTACTTTTACCATATATACACTTGAATGATTTCTCGATCGACAAATAGATCAGCCATGTGTACCTACGCACTTGCGCACCTTTCAAAAATAAGGAAATTTGTAAAATGTATTATTTTTCAAAGAATATGTACGTTTGACGTTTTTTGTACACATGGGAGTAGTATAAAACACTGACGTTATTCAGTACGCTACAGTTAAGTAAACACACGACCGACATCTAGGAACAAAAGCAATTTTAAATATGTCACGTCAGTACTTGCTTGTTTGTATGTTTATAAAAAAAAAGAAGAAAAACTGTTTAACATTGACTATTGGTTTTCTGCGAATTTTCTTTAGTTTAAACCGCTACAATGGCAAACTTAGTATTCTTTACTTCTGAGAGTTACACTTAAACTGAGAGTATTATTTGCTTGTTTAATGTTAATGAGGTTGATTTTCTTTGTTGGTTTTTTTAAATTGCTATACCTATAGATGGTTATTTTTATAAGTAGGTATATTTAGCCATTTAACCTGTAAAGTTTTAACTTTTTATTTATACAGCTACAAATCGTTTTGTGGTATTATGTTAATAAATAAAAAATAGTATTGTTCATTCAATCGTACTCGGAAACTGTTTGGATCGAAATGGAATTTGAAAATTATTATTTTTCTTTGTAACTCGTCAGTAACTAAAATATAGTAATAACAGTTAACATAATATTTTTTAGGCAATATATTTTAATTTATATTCCATTATTACCTTCATAATATCTTATTTTAGGTATATCGTTATTAATTTCAATGGCTTCGCTAAAGTCGTTCGAAAACTTTTTATAATACTTATAGTGAAGTGTTTGAAAAATTTGGGAAAAATAATGTATAGCTATTTATAAGTCTTTGCAACAAAACATACTTCATATACATTTTTTTGGGAAATCTTACCGTGTATGTTACTTTTTTATAACTGCAACTATAATCACTCGAGTGTGTAACATTATTACTGCAGTTATGGTAACTAAATTATCCGTTCTGTTTGTACAAAACGCTTTTATGTACTGTTTCGTGTTGATTAAACCAACACGAAAATTGAAATGCATTGTCAACGCATAATTTACCATTACCACTAAGCGCCTTAAACAAACGTACTAATTCATATTTGAAAAAATGCTATATAATTCAATGAAAATTCGTTATTGGTTTTATATCATTGTAAAACACAGATGACCTAGAAACACAATCTTAATAAATTTAAGATAATTGTATAGCTTTGATGTAGTGGAGCATCAAAGTAGGAGAGAAGGTGTTTTGTACTTACATTTTTTAAACGCGTAAAACTGATTCCTTTATAATATGCACACCGTCAATCAGTTATCGGTATTTAGTGAATTAAACTATAAAAATTCAAAACATATTACCCATTTTCTTATTTAAAAGAAAATGTATTTTAATTTTGTGAAAAGTATAACATCACAATTTTAGAATTTTTGTTTATAATATTATAAACGAACAATAGTATGAACATTTACTTGTAGTTTTTAACAGCTATATTGTAGTACTTTGATTTTCTTGAAAATAATTATTGTTTGCATTTATTCGCGTTTTTATAAATATGAGAAATTAGAATACAAGAGTAAAATCTGTTCAAATGTTCAATGAACCTAACCTGTGTCCCATTGGCGCATCTAGGGGAGAGGTGAGGAGCTAGGGAAGATCAAATCCTTCTAAACTCCTCCAGGCTCTCAAAAAGTGTCAAAAAACCAGGCATAGTCCCTATATAACGTTTTTAGTTGATACCGAAATTCTGAGGGACCTTAAAAAGTATTTGAAGTACTTCATCAGGCCCCCCTCTAGTTGTGCCAATACTGTGGCCCTACCGAATCTGCTATACTTTGCCTGAACTTTATTTTATTTTGAGATATAAGTGTAATATATTTTGTTATGTAATTTAGCTCCAATAAATTTTATTTAATCGTTTGATAAAATACTACTTAAAGAGATTTATTGTATTTTATAGCGTCCACGCACAGGTGTAAATATAATGATTTTTATACTTTGCTCAACAATACACAAATCTATCGTATTTGTTGTTTTTTTATGAAATAGTTATTGATAAGTGGTACTTCCAAGTTTACCGTACCTACCATTATAGTTATATAAATATTTATACGAAATAAGTTACAAATATACATTAACGGATGCCAGATTGAGTTTAATATGAAATTAAGAGTACAAAACAACAGCATGTTAACATCGTTCAACTTGTGTGGTACATATTATGTCGGTTGCCAGTTGTCACACAAACGCGGTTACCTATTCTTTACCTAAATGTTTTAAGCTCAGTAATTAAACGTGGAAACGCGGTGGGGTTTTTGAATGGAAAACGTTTGATGTCGCTCTAGATGCAAATTTGAAAACGAGTGTCTCTCTCAGAACACACGGTGCTTTAATGTCACGAACAATACACGGTGTGGGTACACATATATGTACATCTGCGTTTTGTTCCTTTATGTATTGTACATTATAGAGAACAACCCTTTGATATAAGGCTATCCCCGGCGTTGAGATTTTAATTAACATGCACACACGCACGTTATCGTACAATGACTCGGTATACCGTCTATGGGTGGTTTTTGATTATCATAAACAAATATACCTACAAGAGCCGCGCTCTTATAGACAAAGAAAATGGTTTAAATTTGGCATCGACGTCACGCACAAAAAGAATATTGATCAAGGCGAACATAGTTTAATATATTCACCGGCGTTAGCAAACATCAATCCCGAATCGCAAGTGTTAATATTCCTCGTGTGCAGAATATTCACCCACGGGTTCCAAAAATATTTTATAATCTAATATATTTATTAGATTATACTTGGCCATATTGTTTGTTATAGGCGTTATAGCTCTTCTGTTCGCTCTAATCCATATTTCAGCCGTTTACTTAGACAATCTCGTTGGCTTTATCCCACGCGATAGAGATGCTAAATATGCGTAGCGGTGTTGTGGTTGATAACTTTGCTACAATATACTTTGTCTCCATGTTAAATAGAACGTTATTGAGTATTGTTTGGATTGTTTGATGAGATATGTGAAAACGCGCACGCCTCGAGTAAAACTAAACACGCTATAAAACAGTCAAGGTATATAATATTATCATAATATATGTTTAATCAAACAAACTACATTAGATGTATTTTATTAAAAAATGACTCGAAATTAATCGAGTTTATCATCGCAATTATTAGTATGTATTATTTTTTACTAAACAATGTAGGTCTGCAGTAATAACATTAGTTTTAGTACACAGCATGTCTGTAGCTAAATTGCATAAACGGCCCGCCGTGATTTGTTCTATTATTCGATGTAGTTATAATGTTTATCTAGCTAAATGTAGTACATATTTTTTACATTTTATTTTTATAAAAATCCAAAACGTCCAAGAGTGGTTAATAAATGATCATATTCACTACAGGACATTGGTTTTAAAACGATAAAACAAAAAATAACACCATTAAGTATATTTATTTGCGAAAACGTCGCCAATGCTTTTTCAGACAAAAAAACAAACATATCACTGTGTGTAAGCAATAGGTTTCTGGGCTTCCAATCGAATCTCGAGTAAGACACGGCTGAGTAGATCGTAATACGTTACAAATTGATGATTTATCACGTACATAAATTCCATGCGATGGGACGGATAACATCAGCTGAGTACCAGCATCACCCAATCCAAATAAGTAATAGTCGCGAACATTTTTACCAATTCAGCGATGGTCTTAGGTCAGTTTCGATTTACCAAACGTGTTCGTGTCTTTTAAAAATATAAGCTTTAATTTAGATAAAACGTTATTTGTTTTTTTATTTCCATAGATGGAATTAAGAGATGCACCAGCATGCACAGTTAAGTATAAAACTACTAAAAAAAGAGAAGGCCCAACGCTGCAATAAATTAATGTAGAACGCAGTAATTATTTTTGTAGTGGAATGCTGCATAACACACTTGTATTAAGACGTGCATTTTTTTACTTGCAAAATATCCGGAAGAAAATAAGTGAATTTTTAATCATATCCTCACAGAAAAAAACTGCTTGGAAAATAGTGTGGTTGAAAAACGTTGTAAGGACACTTTGTGTGAGATAATAAGGCGACATATAGAGTGCAGGGAAAAGCATTGATTTTTGAAGTGTGTACTCAATACGAAAGATCATAGGTAAACGGAAGTGTTTGAAATCAGCCAATGACGGTAAAAATAACAGACGCCAAAGTAACGTGAGTACATGTAATTAATGGCGATTGATAGAGATTTATGGAGAGAGAGAGGATTTGTCCGGCCCTAATTGTATAAGATAAGGTTAATTTTTTTACCTCATTCTATACAAATAAAGAAGAAAATACAATTTAATCTTGCGATATTTTATATATTTCACGATCACCATTTTATTAAAAATCACCTATTGTATAATATTATTATACTAACAATAGCTGCAACGGTAGTGCATTGATATTATACAGAAACTGCAACTGTGTACAACAGTTATATGTCATTGTACTGTTGCTATCACCGGCCGGTGCTCGTGCAAGGTTCCTCGGGTGTACTTAAACCGTAGAATTTAGTTGTGGGCGTGGTTCGCCGGCGCATTGGGCTAGACGTTGAACCGAAAACGCATAACCGTTGCCGGCACCTGAACGAAAGGCACGCGGACACAGACCACAGTGTCGTGTGCGCCTTCGATCATGGACCACCTTTTATGCTTCTTGGTCGCTTTAACCGCACAAACAGCATCGGGTAACTAAACCGAATGACTTATTATTGTAGTTGATTTTTTTTTTAGTATTTGCTTATTGTTATTATAATTTTTTTTTTAATTTGCCGATTAAATGTAGACAAATAAAAAATTGTAAACCGTCGTAGCACACACGTGTCATAAATGCATTTGATTTTTTTGGAAAACTAAGCTATGTTTAGTAATAAAATATCTTATCTACAATAGCCTTGTATAAATCTTGAAATTTTTCCTACTAGAAGACTCGTGTTCATTATTGCGTTAAATACATTAAAAATTACAAAAAAAAAAAACAAATGCATTTATGACACATCTTTAATATCTTACATAATAACGTATATATAAAAATAAATTAACCAGTGGGTTGGTTAATATAGAGAAATAATATAGACTAGAATTTTAATCAAAATACGCATTTAAAATTATTATCAAATTGTTAATTTGATAATATTTTCAATAAAAATTCAAACCAGTAACTTGTTATACTTGTACCTAATAATTGTACCTTATACCTAATATTTGTACCTAATATATATCCAACATACAAATAGTAAAACATAAAATATATATATATATATATAATATACGAATAATAGCTGATCTGAACTTCTATATTTAATTTCATAATTGAAATCGACACTTAAAATCATGTTTAAATATAAATCCCAATACTAATACAATAATTTGTGTATTTATTACTAGAATATATTACTTGTATCATGTATATAATATTAATTTACTAAACACAAAAAAATACCAAGTGCCGGTTAATGAATTAATTTTAAAGTCTATGACTTCTAGATAAATATACTTATATATGTGCAATAGTATAATAGTATAATACATTTTAACTAAATATTAAAATAATTAATATATTTGTTAAAATAGTTAACTAAGTAATTACTTATTATAATATATTTGTACCTATGAGGTCTAAATAGGACCAATGACAATTTTTAGTAAGTCAGGTAGATGTAGTATTAGCAAGTAAATTTAAACACACATTAAATTGTGTAAAAAGTTACGCTATCAGAACAAAATCTGAAAAGATATGAAGAGTTTTGTACATCACTAAACATAGGGCGTTATGGAAAATACAAATGTTGTAAGCTTGTTTGCAAAAACTTAAAATTGACGTTTTACATTCAAGATACAATTGTTCGTATGTACTCGTATTTAATATAATTGATGAAATATTTACAAATAGTATTACTTAAGGGGAACGAAAAGCAAAAAACTGTATACAAAAAAAAAGCGCGAAGTCACTTTATGGAGTCTTTAATTTAAAGTTTAAATGGAGGCTAAAAGGCCAAATTTTATTTTTTGTTTTCAAAATTTTATATTTTTAGTTCTTTTTCTGACAAATCTAGCTAGTTTTTAAATAGCTAAATCAAAAATCGGCCGTTTAGCTTCTATAGAAAAAATACTAAGCTTCATATAAAAAAAAATTGAAATCCGTCCAATAAATACGCCCAAAAAAGTAATTTTTTATCAAACTTTAGCTATAACTCGGAGAAAAATAACTTTAAATTAATTTAAAGACTTAATATTTTGTCATCTTAAAATTACTCAGCATATTTAAAACTGCTACCAGATTAATTAGGTTGTCAAATATTGCCTATCCTTTGCCCCTTAATAAATAGCGCTTTCTTTCCCCCTTAAGAGTTTAGACTAAACTGTGTACACACGTATTTAAAAATCTTTAATGTCCAACGTCAAATATCAACAATATTCGGCATCTTATCTAAAAAGATAGAATACCGATATTATATTAAAAAAATGTTTTACTTTCATGACCATTTTCAATAAGTTTAATGCATACAACAACGTTTATCTTGTACTGTAATCAATATAAATTACAACCATTTCTGAAAAACTCTAATATCTTGTTTTAGTTTCGATGCGGAGCCAAAAAGGTATTGGACTACCAATGATTTATGCTTTGTTTTTTTTTGAAACCAAACCCTTTTTTAGTATACACTAAATCGATCAAACATAGTTTTAGTCTTGATACCTACCTAACTTATACTTAGCGAGATCAAACATATTTTTCTCCACTAAAATTTTAGTAAAACCCTCGAAAATGCAATACATTTTCCAAGTTCCATCAGAAACACTTAAACTTTCACAACAATGTGATTTTTAAGTGGTTTTGCGGATATTCATTATTGGCATAATGGTCGACCAATAAAGAAAATAAATTGTTTTTCCAACAATCCATTTTATTTTATTACTATAGCTGTTAGGCTGTAACCATATCGATCATTAGTATATCACTGAGATTTCTATGCAAATACTTATAACTGTATAACAATGTTTCTATTTAAAATTAAGCTTAAACAAAAAACATTTTAAGCTAATTATTATTTTAAAGCAATCATTAGGTTATAGAATTATATTATAGTATATAATGAAAACTAAAGCTGTAATTGGATTTTTACAATATTAATTACCAACTAGAAATCACTATTATTATATCTTATTAAAGTTTCTCGTGAAAAATTACTAAAGACGTTTTTCGGGCCACTGTTTTGCTTTATTCCCACGTTTTTACAACGAAGAAAAAATGTCTAGAACCAGAACTACAACAATGAAATGATAAAAAGACTGACACAAAACGATGATAAAGACGTTATTTCTATAATATTATAATTTGTATTATGTAATTGATCATACTTAAAAAAGTTACCGTTAACTATAATAATTATTAATTTTCTTATAAAATACATTTATTATACTTGTGATGTTAATTACTAAATCAATTTACTAAATTTCAAAGTAATTTAATTGAAATTAAAAGTGAAATCTATGGAATGATGTATAAATAAACCAGGTTTAATTTTAACTAGGTTTATTTGTATAAAATAAAGATGGACTTTCTCAATACGAATTTAAAAACTAATAAATATTTTTTAAGATTGGGTTGTGTGGAAAATTAGATCAGACTTATATATATGAGCTTAGTAAGATATAATCTGTCAGTATGTATTATTGTACAAATAAAATGTGTATTATAAAATTAAAATAAATAAATTGCTTTTAAAGATTCGCTTTAAGTTGTGGAAAAGTAAGTTTAAATATAATTGAAGAAATCGTTTTGCAACCCGTAAATTGTATCCACGTAAACTTCCACAATATCTATAGAATATATAACATGTCTTGTTCAAATTGAAAAAATTATCCTGACAATATAATCAGATTTGTGAAATAAACAGAAAGTTTTACAAATTTCGTCCGATAACACAAAACTCATTCTAAATTGTACAATTCCAAATTGTTAACTGAATATTGGCAATGTATTTAAAAAAAAATATAATTATTCAAAAGAATGTCTGAATTCTAAATAATAATAATTTTGATGAGACATCCTAATTGTCACAAATAATCCCATTTAATAGCCTTGAGTAGACAAAATAAGAAAAACATTTAATTTTGTTATTTGGCTGAGTTCCTGTGTTTCTGTAAAAATGTTTTAGTTTTTAATTAAACCCTCCCTTAAAATAAAATATCATTGTGAGATTTACAATAAATGTGAGTACGGTTAATATACGGTTGTTTCTCGGTTCATAGTATTGTATAAGATATATTACTTATATTTAAGCCAAATAAATTGAAAACCATTTAAAATAACGATAAAATAACTGGGATTGACAGTATTAAACTTTTTAAGTATTATCATATGTACTTTATGACATGACAGCTGTTGTTTGTATTTTGATCTCGTATAATAAATATTTTCTTTTAAAAATACTTAGATATAACTAATAGAATAGTTCGTCGAAATGTCTACGTTAGGTACCCAAAGACGATGGCTTTACTTTTAAAACCGTAATTTCCCCTTGCGTTTCTGAAAATACCGCTAGGGAGATTGAAAAGGACCAAAGTTAGACACATTGATGTATTATGTTTACATACAGGGTAAGGTATAGATTGGGTATAGATTTTATGTAAAAAGGAATGGAAATGAATGAATACGGAATCATATAGTATTATAAACATCAAGAAGAATAGAACATTTTGAATACAACTTACCAAGGATTCTTGTCAATTGTGATGCACATTATTTTCGAAGGTAAACATATTCAACGTACACAGAAATAAAAATTTTAAACAGGAAATATTTCTAAAACAGTGCGGTGTGGCGTAGGTACTTACCATAAAATAAAATATGTACCAATATCACATTTTTTTTTAAAGAAAATATTTAAAAAAATACCTATCTACTTTTTACTAATTATTAGTTACATCCAAATTATAGATAATTTGTTTAAACAATAGTTAAAGTAATTTAATATGTGAAATAGTTATAATAATTAACATTGCAAGATATAGTATATAATACAACATCTTATATAATATCTGTTATATAGGTGTTGTAATATTGTGAACTGTAAAGAAAACAATTTACAAGAATAAAGAATATAAACACTAAATTATTAATTAATTAAACACTAAATTATCGAGCTTAGTGCTGAAATGAACTAAAACATCTAACTTATAGGTATAATATACAATTATTACAACAGTACTTATACAATATTTATTTTTGTATTGGCTAAAAAATGTATGTTAGTATCTTGAGTTTTGGTAAAGCTTTTTGAAAAATGTATGTTTATTTTTGAATCGATTAAACCAATAAAATACGACATACACAAAAGGTTTACTAATCTAATAAAAAACTCAGACAATTGTAAACATTTGATTTTTAGGAATGGTATAATAAAAATCTCGGAGAACGTTGTTTACGAAGAAATAATATAATGTAATTCGGAAAATCATAGTATAACATTATATACCACCGCAGAATATTTAAAAGCACAATTCAATCAAGAGCTTTGTTTTTTGTAAAAAAAAAATATAAGATTTCACAACACCCAATATTATTTTATTTTAAAATGTTTCTCGAGCGAGAAAAATATTTTATTACAGTTATTTGATACCGTTGAACAAAATCAACTGGTTTTACATAATTTAATTGAACGCAAATAATGAAGTGCTGAAT